ATGTAGGCTGGATACAATATAGAGACAAAGAATACCAAGCATTGGTGAGCATTTAGAGAAACTGGAATTCCCAGTTACTGCTGGTAGGAATGTAAAAAGGAAGAGAGATATTTACACACAGTAGGCTGGCCACTAGTGACTCATTCCTGTAATCCTAGCTACTTGGGAGGTAGAGATTGGGAGGATTTTAGTTTGACACCAAAAAGTTTACAGGATCTCATCTCAATCACTAGCTTGGCATGCCTGTCATCCCAGCTGCAGTGGGAAGCATAAATAAAAAGATTGTGGTCCAGATCAGCCTCAACCAAGAAGCAAGACTAGCTCAAAAATGACCAGAGCAAAAAGGGCTCGAGGCGTGACTCAAAAGCCTGGAGTTCAAACTCCAGCATCACCAAAACAAAAACAAACAAAAACACAACAAATGTCCCACATAGAATTAGCATACAACCCCACAATTCCATTCTGACATATATAAAGAGTGAAATAAAATATCTACCCCAAAACTTACACACAAATATCCATAGCAGAATTATTAACAATGGTTAAAAAGTAGAAACACCTTCACTGTCTATCACCTGAAGATGCTGAATAAAATATGGTATAGAAACCCTTGGCAGTGAGGAGAAATGAAATATTAAGGCATGCTACAACATTGCAACACCTGAAAACATGAAGTGCAAGGTCTACAAAGAATCACATGATACTACTGATAAGAAATGTTCACAGTAGGCAAAATGGCAGATTCAGAAAACAGATTCATGGTTGACTAGGATGAGAGGATGGGAAGCAATTTGGGGAATGGCTGCTACGTAGACACTGGGGTATTTTTCTTAGTGGTGACAAAAATGTCTTAAAATTATGTTGTAGTAATTTATACAACCCGGTAAAGACACGAGAAATCATTTAATTCTATACTTTAAAGGGATAAACTTTATGGTATGCTAATTGTATCTCAAAAACCAAGGGTAGGAAGCTGGGGTGCTAGTGGTTCATGCCTGTAATCCTAGCTGCTCAGGAGGCTGAGATCTGAGGATCATACTTCAAAGCCAGCCTGGTCAAGAAAGTCCATGAGACTCCTATATTCAATTAATCACACAAAAAAGCCAGAAATGGAGTTGTGGCTCAAGTAGTAGAGCACTATATTTGAACAAAAAAGCTCAGGAACATCACTCAAGCACTAAGTTCAAGCCACAGAACTAGCACGTGTGTATACACACACACACACACACACACACACACACACATATACACACACATATACAAAGAAAGGGAAGGAGTGGGCATTAAGAAGAGGTTTTTCTTTGCTGTTGTTTTTAAATGTACTATGTGATTTTTTTGTTTCTTTTGTGTTTTTATTTTCCCCTATGGTTTATCCCCTGTTGTCACTGTATTTGATTTTGGTGCCCTATATATTGTATTATACATTTACCTGAATTAGGGAATTAAGGAAGGGAAGGGGAACAACAAAATGGTGAAATAAAGGACAAAGGGCGAACCAAGGTAACAGCGATACTCACAAGACGATATATTGGAAATGATCTGTACAGCTTGCTGGTGGGGTGGGGGACTGGGGTAGCGGGAAAGTGGGAGAAAAAAGAGGGAGGGGGTAACAAGTTCAATAAGAAATGTACTCACTACCTTATGATGTAACTGTAACCCCTCTGTACATTACCTTAAAATAAAGTTAAATAAAATAATAATTGTCTATAAAATGGAAATAGTCCTAGTCAATTGTTTGACAGAAAATTGACTCTAGGACAAGAAAAAGAAAATCACTTTGATGATGCATTGCTACCTAAATCCCCAAGTAAACCTTCAGTGCTGTCATAGTATCAGAAAGGTATTTGTGTAAAGAGTGTCTATAGTCACTGTCACAGTAACTGGACAAAGCAAGCTCCAGATATCTCAAAAAATAAAAATAAAAAGCAAACCATGAACTTTTGTGTTTAAAAAATGGAAATTTATTGAAAATATAGGTGTTTTGCTGTATTTTCAAACATTTAAGTATGTTTGCTTTCTTTATAATAATATAGTATTAAAGTCTTAGAAAATATAACCTCTTTTATTTAAAATTCAGACCATGCTGAACACACCAAAGATTACAGCTCTTTTTTAAAAATAATTAAAACTGTTATTTTACTTTAAAAACACTTTTGTATTACTTTTTAAAATGATTTACAAAATAAATAGCTTTCTAAACCCTGAAAAAAAAAGTGAAGCTGAGTGCCGGAGGTGTATGCTTGTAATACTAGCTACTCAGAAAGGTGAAATCTGAGAAGCATGGTTTGAAGACAGCCTAGAAAAAAAAAGCCAATGAGACTCTTATCTCCCATTAACAAGCAAAATGCTGGAAGTAGAGGTATGGATCAGGTGGTAGAGTGCTAGCCTTGAGTAAGAAAAACCAAGAAAGTGAAAGGCCCTGAGTTCAGCATGGCATACACACAAACAAATACATTGAAAGTTGTGGTTGCAGAAGACAACATGTAAGGAAGTAACTTGAGGTCTCATTGGGTGAGTAGTAAAGCATCAGGATTCCAGAGACTAACACAGAGAGCAGAGCTGACAAAGAGGCAAAGACCAGAGGCTGGCAAAACATAGAAAGAAAGAAAAGGAGGTGGGCTTGGTAAGAGCAGAATAGGAAGGTAGGGGTGCCTCCATGGGAAGGCCGGGCCCAGATGATGCAGGATCTGGATGTCCACATGCGTAGCAACAGAAAGACATTGAAGGGTTTTAACTTGGGGAATGAAGTGAATGGATCTGAATTTTTAGAAGCCCACTCAGGTAAGAAGAAATTGATTTGAGGGATATGAATGGATGCACGAGTCAAATCAGGAGCCAGTGAAAAACTCAGAGGAACAGATAATGTCTAAGAAATCCAAATTGAAGTAGTTTCAAAGCGAGAGTGGGAGGTGGGAATGTGGAGACAATGAGCTCTTCTGTAAAGTCTGGCTCTAGCAAGAGAAGAGAGAAGCAGTTGTAGCTAGAACATATGAGGTAAAAGAAATTGAAAAGGTACACATGTTTGAATGGGAATTGGAACACTCCAGAGAGAGGTTTAGTATGCAGAAGACAGAGGAGAAAATTCATTCAATCAGGCCCTTGCAAAGGTGGACGGTAATGAGAAACAGCACACCCTCAGAGGGACATGTCTTCCAACAGAACAGGAGGAAGTGGGGAGGGAGTTACCAATGCAGGCGGATTTGTAGATTTGGAGTCAGAACTTCCTCATGCTCCTACCTCCTGTTCTGCAACACAACTCCAGCCAAGAGTGAATAAATATACTTATCTACCTTATTAACTGATGTTAAATGGCGGGCATCAGGATGTTTAATGAGGAGGCCAGGGAGCATTCTTAGGGTTGATAATAGGCATCAATGAGAGAGACTGAAATCTACATAGCCGTGCTATTTTCTTCTCCTATCATCTTCAAAAACAAGAAAGAGTAGAATAGTTAAGAGGAAATTGGGACTCTAGACAGAGAAAAGATTACAAGAAAAAAAAATCACTTACTTCAAAAGTCCAAGAATTTAAGCTCTGTGTGCCAAATTAGCTTTAAGACACAATTAGGGAGTCATTCTTGGTATTAAAAACCATGCAGATTGCAGGTGGCATGATAAAATTGGAAGGGATTTATTTTTTTAAGAAGGAATAAAAAGGGAATTCAGGAAAATACAGTTGAGTCAAATTGACAATGATTGCTGCAATGTTTGTTCGTTTGTGATCATTAGGAAGCACCAAATGTTCATTAGGAAGTATTTATGTCAAAATTGTATATGCCCATGGAGAGTGCCTATCTCCTGATTTTAAGGTACATTCATGATTGGTAGATTTAATAAACAGTGTTTACAGATACAATGGAGTTTTGGACATATGGATCTCAAGACTGCTTCATGAAGAACTCCACATTTCTTTTTCTTTTTCTCCTTTGTTTGTGCCTGTCCTGGAGCTTGAACTCAGGGCCTGGGCACTGTCCTTGAGCCTCTCTGTGCTCAAGGCAGGACCCTACCACTTTGAGCCACAACACCACTTGCAGCTTTTTCTGTTCATGTGGTACTGAGGAATAGAACCCAGGGCTTCATGCATGCTAGGAAAGCACTCTACCACTAAGCCACATTCCTAGCCAGAACTCCACATTTCAAAAGGACCTTTAGGACATATAGAGAATGGTCACAAGAAGGACCCAGATGGAAACCAACAAGCATCACTAAAGAAGACAGGCATTGGTTGGGTAGGGAAACAGAGATTTCCTTAAGAACTTTAAGCCTCAGCATGTCTAGGGTTTTTTTTCCCCCTGCAATGGTCCAGGGGATAGAGTTGGTATAGAATTATGGAGAGAATTAGTTCTAGGGAAGTAAATTGTTACCACAAGATAGGCAACATAGCACCTGGACATGGGGACACAAACCATCAAACTACTCAGCCTTTGATTCTAGAACCTACTGCCAGGGAGTCTACTACATAGAGTGGAGTTAGGTAACTCCATACCCTCTGTAATGCTAAGGGTTATTCTATGAAAAGAAATTAGAGGAAATATAGGTATTTATGCATCAGCACACTTGTGCCAAAGATATACATACAAATGCCTATAGATGTCCATGGTCTGACCAAGGCTACACAGTGAGGTAATGGTAGACCTGAGGTAATCTAAGACCCGACAGTTGCTTCTATTACTCTATACCTTCCCCTTGCCTTTACTCTTTGGAATTTGTAAGAGTTCTAATTTCTTCATTCATAACTTTTAGTCCCTACTCTTCATGACTGCTCATAGTTCTATGTGGTCTAGATGCAATCTGAAGCATTGGCCTGAAGACTTAGGGTCCTTGAGCAATTGAGCCTGCTTCATAGATGATAAACTGTCAGAATTCCCTAAGGAGCCTGTTCCCAGGGAGTCTTAGGTACAGTTAGTTCCTGCAGGACTAGGGGAAATGCTCGTCAGAGGAGGAAAAAATCCTCAAAGCCCCATGTCTTACCTTGTCCATGGAATCGCTGTACTTTTTGCCTTAGTTGTACATGGCCAGGTTCATCCACTAGAAATAAACATCATCATTGCCACCTCCTTAATGGGGAATAAGGAACACCCCATCTTCTTCCCTTAGAAGATCATGGTTCAGTCTCATTACCCCTTTTCAGCTAATTCCTCTCAAGCAGGAGATTTTAACCTCTTGTCACATACACATATTCCGCTATTCCTTAAATAGCCAGGCAGTGAGAGGTATACCTGAGGTCGACCAGCTGTCTGATTGGGTGGCTCTAATATTCAGTGGGAACAAGTTGAATGTACAGTGAGCTCAGCGGGCTGTTCTTCAGCTCCCTGTTGGATTTATGACTCCCACATAATCCTCTGCTTTATTAAGCTATTGGAAAAAAATAAAATCTGTCTGCCAAGATCCTAAAGCAGCCTGGCAGTCAGCAATATATAAAGACAGTAATTGGAGGCGGGAGGGGGTGGGGGTGTGTGTGGGGGAAGCCAGCAGTGAGGCTGGCCTTTGACAACTGTTCAATAACCTCAGAGAGAGAAATTCCCCCTAGAATCCGTTGGGGAGAGGTGACTTGGGAATCTGCCTGCTGCTGGGATGGGAAGATGGCTCACCTCCATTTCTGTCAAGTAGAGTCCTTTTCCATCCTTGGAGAGGTTGCGAAAGGCCTCTAGGAGAAAGATAAAGGTATCTGGGTTTTTTTTTTTTTATTGTGAAAATACCGTACAGAGGAGTTACAATTACATGGGCAAGATAATGAGTACATTTCTTATCAAGCATTGTAGCCTCCTCCTTTGTTTCCTCTTGCCATCCCTTCCCATCTCCACCTCCCCCCCTTTACCCCCCCCCCACCAAAGTTGTAAAGTTCATTTTTCGACATAATGACTTGTACATCTCATTGTTGCAATGGGTCCACCTGAATCCCTATTTAAACGGTTTGTTTTTGTCCTTCCCCTCCACAAATTATACCAACATCAAATACAATGAAAGCAGGGGTTATACCGTGGGGGGAGGGACATACAAAGCAACAAAGAAATCATCTTATAAATATATTGGAAACAATCGCAAGAAAGAAAAACATTTGAATACTTATCTTGGGGTTCATTTCACCTAACATCAACTTATCTAACCTTTTCTGCTTGTCCCAGACATATACTAGTTACTGCAAATAAGGGAAACCATGGGACCTATGTTTCTTTGGGCCTGGTTTACTTCACTGAATATAATTTTTTCCAAGTCTTTCCATTTTGTAACAAATGGGGCAATGTCATTCTTTCTGATGGAGGCATAGAATTCCATTGTGTATATATACCACATTTTCTTGATCCATTCATCTACTGAGCAACATCTGGGTATCTTTGTTATGGTAAATAATGCTGCAATGAACACAGTTGTACTGATAGTTTTAGTATGGCCTTGTTTGTGATCATTTGGGTAAATGCCCAAAAGTGGGATTGCTGGGTCATAGGGGAGCTCTTGATGGACATAGGAGAAGTACAGCAGGCCAAGTCAGGGCCTATGTGAAGGTAGAAGCCTGTGTGATGGCTTTGTTGAAAGCAGCTCTTGCAGTCCAAAGGCTAGATGGTTCTCCATCCTCTTCTCTTTCTGGCCAAACTCTGTGCCATGGGATGGTTCTAGGCCCACCTCAGAATGGCTCTGTGACCTCTCCCTTTCTGGATTCCCTATACCTTGCATTCTACCACATTCTGTGGGCATGGGCAGACTAGTCTTTCTCTAATGGGAACAATTTGGAGACTTCCATAGTCTTCTAGAGAATTCCAAAGTGCTTTAGGTTTATCATTTATCCTCCCAGGGCTCAGTTCTTTCAGTCTTTTCATTGTTCCTTCCAGAGGTTTGCATCCATCCATGGGGTTTGCAAAGCTGACTCATACTAGGAGTGAGGCCATGATCCAGTATTTCTGGTACCCACTCTACCTCGCCCTTAACAGTTTCATTTCAAGCAACATTGTGGCTGGGGTTCTATATAAGATTTCATTTCAAACAAAGGCTATGCTACCAAAACCTGTCTAACCCTCTGGTCTCCATCATTGGATTTTTAAAGCTAGAAGAAAGACCTTCTTCCCACCCCTATTCACTTGTCTGTCGTGGAATTCCTTCATTACAGATAGAAATCTTGGTCTGTGTGACTACAGAGGTAGGTGTCAGTTATAACCACAACCTGTAGAAAAGACGAGTGATCACTACTAAACTTGTTCTTGCAAGAGTAGCTAGACAGGGTAAGGAGGAAATGAGAGACTCGGATAGAGGAATGCTGGGGGAGAGGAGTTCATCAGGAAGATAAAGACATTGCTGATTACTCAATCTTCAGCTTTCGTTGGCTGTTGTCATGAAGAAAGGGAAATTCTGAGAGGTTGCCAGTCTACAATTTCTGAGGCCTTGCTCAGGCCTCGGGCAGCAGTCTCTCAAGTCTTTTCCTGTGTTCTTTGGTCATTGCGATGGTAGTCTCCGGGATGAGAGCCAGGCATCGTGACACACTTGTAATCCTAGCCACTCAGGAGCCTGAAACCTGGTAGATCATGGCTCACAGCTCAGGCAAATTGCTCACGAACTCCCGTTTCAACCAATTAAAAAATAATAATAAAACTCCGAGTGTGGTCATGGTGCCTGTCATCCCAGATTATAAATGGGCAGATTGTGGCCCTGGCTGGCCTGGAAAAAATAGTGGGACTCTCGTTAAGAAATAATGCAAGTTAAAAGCAAATAAAAGTCTGGAGGCATGCCTTAAGCAATAAAGCACCTGCCTGGCAGACAACACAAGGCTTTGAATAAAAAAGAACAACAACAACAACAAAAACCCAGTAGCCCAAAGAAGAAAAAGGTGTGCAGGATGGCACCCGGGGACACTCACTTGCCATGATTTCCAGGCGTAAAAGGAGGCAGACCAGACTGGGGAAGCTGATTCGGCCAACACTGTCACCATACCGGAGGGTCAGGAGATCCTGCAGCTCATAGCTGATGGAAATCCCTGTAAGGAAATCTGCAGCCACAGACTGCTTAGTGGGAAGGAGGCAGGGTTTAAGGTGACCCTCTGCTTCAAGAGACTTGCTAATCCTGTTTAGAGGATCTCCTGGCCTCTTAACACTTTTTCTACTCAGCCTGGTTTGGCAACCAGTCCACCTAGTTTGGTAACCAGAATTTCTCTTATGATCCTGTGTCTTCTAATTTGTTGGCTGTGGATCCTCAGTGACCCAGACCTACAGGTTAGTCAGAGACCAACTCAAGAGACTTGAGACTCTGTTCTGGAACCATACTGTCCTTCCTGATGATCAGATACTCTCTCCCGATGGAGCACTGGGGTTTCCAGGGTTTACTTTCAGGCCTTTCCTTGCTGCTGATCTTATAAGACAACCATCTTCCCTGAACCCATGACTCTCTGTAGGTCTATGCATGGATGCTGCTAGTGTGGGCAGGCCTGGGCTCCCTCGATAAAGGAGATTTAATTCCAAATTGGTCCTTCAGGGAAAGGCCGGTCCTCACAGGAGCTTTTGGATTGCATTAGAATTATTTTCTATTTCACTTCTTTCTCTTTTTTTAAAATTCAGCAGTCATTAGTGAAGGCTCTTTAAGGGTGGCATCTTGAACTTTCTCTTCAGTGACTTTCAAGATACACTAGCAGACCAGGGGCAGGGGCATCACCCGGGAAGTTGTTAGAGATGCAAACTCTCTAGCCCTTACCCCCAGTGTCCTAAACTGAAAAGTGAGGGGAAGCTCTGTTTTCTATGCCTCCACAGGCCTGCCAGGAGACTGGTGCAGATCAGGTTTAAGCATCACAGCTCCCTGCCATGAGGAATTAAGGGGAGGAATTACATTCCAGTGAGGCACACCATTTTGCATTTTCCTTCCCAAGCCAAGGGCCAAGGGAGGGAGAACGTTGGAGCGTTTCCTTCCAGAGTTAACCTGAAGAATATGATTTTACAGTTTATTAAGAAAACCGGCCTTCCTTAATCACACAGCTTTTGTGTGACCCATTTTCTCCATTGCTCCTCTGGACGTAATGATTCCTACCCTTCCTGGTTCAACGTGAGATGACATGATTAGAAGTTGGAACTTAAATGTGATTGTGATATGATGTGAACTACTGAGCATTTATGCGTCCTGAGGTGCTGTTAGCATTATCCCTGGACTGAAAGCTTTGCCTCCTAGGAGCCAACGGGTGCCATTTGGTTTAATTTAGTCCCAAACCTCTATGAAGAAAGAGAAGCAAGATCATCTGCCAGCCCATAGGCATTTAACCCTGATGGCCCAGACACTGAGCTAGAAGTGTCTGGAAGATGAGCTCCATTCCTGGTAAGGTATCAATCATGCAGGGCTACTGTCTCACAAGTAGAGCTGTACTGGGGAGAAAAGGCAGCTGGGAAAATTGAGTGGCCCAGGAGAACTCTGGCATGGGGATGATATCTCATTTCAGAGCCCTGGAGGTCCACAGAGGTCAGTGTAGCTAGGGAGGGCTTAGTTGTACAGCTGTCTCCTCTCCTGACTGACTAGCCTCCCTGCGCCAACCTTGCCTGCAGCATGCTGGGAATGTGGGTGTAACACTCACCCCACAACCCCAAGTCTTCCTGGCTCACAGGCCTCTGTGTTACCTGAATTCTGTATGGCCTTCCACAAATCGGAGCTGAGGAGAACTCTGGAGCTCTTCTGAATGTTTTGGAAAATATGCTGATGAGAAAAACAAAGACAAACACAAAAGCCTAATGGGACATTTATGTGGATCCAGAGAATGTGGACAGAGGAAGTCCTGAACATCCCTTTTCTATTCCTGGAGATGGCTTCGTGAAAACTTGCCTAGAGGCAGCTCAGAGGTGAGCAGGGAAATGGAAGGAAGGACAGGGCTTGTGGGCGGCCACATCTGTTCATGGCTGGGGGCCGTGGACTGTCCTCGGCTAACGTATTTTCCTTTCCTTGTCCCACCTCTAGGCAGGCTCCGGATGTAAGGTAGTGTGCCACCTTTGAGGGAAATGAGCAGGGTACACTCTCGAGAGTTGGTAGGGCAGTGGTTAAGAGCAGACTTGATCATAAACTATTAGGGCTTAGTCCTAGTCCAAGTTACTTCTCCTTTTCTGTACCTCATGTTTCTAACCATTACATCTCACATCTCAGCGTATACCTGAGACTTGTCTACATAATCCTCATTACCATCCCGGTCATCCTGCTACTTCCCAGGTGAGAAAACTGACAGGAAGAGGAAACACTTGGATTGGGTGTGCAGTAGCCTTGGGACTGTCTATAGGACTCTTAATTTTGGTCTGTATAGGACTCTTAATTTTGGTCTGTGCACAGCTGCCCACAGGAGATTTGCTAAGCCAAAATAACGCACCAGCATGCATGTGAGAGCAACTATGGGAGACAAGGGTTGTGTGGTAGTAGCTTGAGAGCCTTTTCTTGGTCTTGGTAGGCATGGAGACAGACAGACCTCCTGAGTTCTCCATTAATATTCTCCATTCATTTACTAACTGATTAATCTAGCCATTCACTCAGAAATTTTGAACACTGCTATATTCAAAATTCTGTACGTACTGTGGAAGTTTCTGGGGATAGATGACTATAAGGGAGCCCCTACCCTGATCCTGCAATCTAAGAATGGCTGGACATACAGTCCCTGCGAGACACCAAATGATCCCGGGTCAGAGTAGGTATGGCACCCTGGCATAGCCACCCTGGAGGACTTTCTTCAGCCTTTAGAATTATGTTACGGGGATATTTAGTAGTAGGGCTAGCTGGTTGACATATTGGTGTTTTTCATCTTTTGAAGAAACAGCTTATACTTCTATTTAGTATGTATGTATAATTTATTATACATGTTAGGTCTTCGTGCTTTCTCTTTGATTGGCAAGATCATGCTTTTGTGTGTTTTTTTAAATTTTATCTTGGGCAAGATCATGCTTCCTTTTAAAATTGTATCTTTGCGCATCTGTATTTTCTATTGTGAGTGAGCACTGCTTTCAGCATGAGGTTAGGTTATTTTTAAGAACGACATAATAAGGTGACTTATGATGTCATGGCAAGGTGGGTGGCTTGTGCTCCCAGATGTGAGCCTGCAAGTGAAGAACCAGTGGGGACACTAATCGCATCGTGGGGGCCGGCAGGAAAGCTTCAGCAGGAACATTGTGTCTGAGGCTGGACTCTTAGGGTAGGTGGGCATTCACTGGTCTTGGGGTGCAGGGAGGGGAGATAGGGAATGTCAGGACAGTGATATGAAGCCACAATCTTTACAGGACATCTCCTAGTTGGGGTCAGAGGAAGTGGGATGAGTAATTAGGGCTTCTCCTGGCCTCAGAAGTAGGGGCCCAATTCTGCTAATCAGTTTTGATTATGTCCTGAGGGTAATGGGAGGCCACAGACCATAGACCAACCTAGCCAGAGACCAACCTAGCCAGAGACCAACCTAGCCAGAGACCAACCTAGCCAGAGACCAACCATGTCTGTGTTTCAGTAGGTTCTGTGGGAAAGGCATTGGAAGAAATTGGGAGAAGGTCACAGATGAAGGGTGGATAGAATGAATCTGAGGAGAAATGAGGAAGGCACTGCTGGCTGCTGGCTCCAGCCCTGGTGCGCAGTGGCCTCTTCCCCCCCCCCCCCGACTTCCACATCCAGCTGCTACATTGAGCAGTGCCTTGGTCTTCTCTGTTGCATGTCTTTCAAACATAATGTAATCTCTCTTTGGGGACAGAGTGGCGTTTCCTCTCCTCTTTACCCCTGAACTCAGGCATTGTTAATTGTTAATATTTAATTGCTACTATTGGTTAATAATATTTGTTAATTTGGGCCACCCACGTAAGAGTGTTAGTCATAGAGAGAATGCCCGTACCTGGCAGTGGAGAAGTCGAATCCACAGTCTCTCAAACTCTTCGTGGTCAAGTCGCCCATTCACTTTCAGCTGGGTGAGAAGTTAAGAGTTAACTAGTCCAAGGTAATGAGCAGGGGGTAGGTGTTGATTGTCCTGCCAACAAAACTGGAGAAGGCTCCATTCATTAACTAGTAACTCCCTCAGGAGAGGGCCACCTAGATGTAATCCCAGGCCAATGGGCTCCCATTGTATCTGAAGCTGACCTGGATTAGTTTTTTTTTTTTTTTTTTTTTTAAGGGAAATGGACTACTGGAAGAAGAAGGAAGTCCCAAGAAAGGGAAGGAACTTATTTCATTTGCATCTGGAGGAAGAGCCCCAACTTGGCCTTCCCAGTTGGGTTGGGTTCCTTGTCAGGGGAAGATAAAGAAAACAAAAGGGACTTGCAACTTTGCAAGCACAGGGAGAAGTTAGTGTTTCAGCCCCATGGAGGGAACACGTGTGCATTAATGCAGTCCTGATCACTCCAGAGGATAAACGATTGGTGACTAATGGAGGGTAAAGAATCAACTTCTGCCAACAGGAAAAGGATCTGTGGGGGAGGAGGAGGGGGAGGAGAGCTGGGGGTCCACTAGTCTACTCGGCAGAGTTCTGCCAATGGGGACCTCCCTCAGGGCAGTCCCCAGGGCCCTGGGACTGTGAGAGACACTTGGGCTCCTTTGTTTCTCAAGTGACTGCAGCCAGCAGAGACAGGGCTTGATTTATGGTTTCATCAAGAATCCCTCTTGTTCTACAATGGCTGGCTTCGCATTCGCAATCCAGCCTCGTTAACAGTTGGAGAGCTGGGTGATCTGTCTCAGGAGACAGCGGCTAGGGGAGTAGCTACCAGGCTGGGATCCTGCCTGCAGGGAGCTGGGGTGGGCAGGGGAGAAAGGGCTGCTCCCCCAGAGCGGGGAAGTCAGATGAGAGTCAGGAGACTGCAGGACACAACTTGTAGCCATGGAACTCGGTGAGCCATGAATGGCAGTAATGGGTGTCTCTGCTGTGTGGGCCAAGGGGACTTCTTTGTATTTGGGTGATTGTTATTTTCATTGAATCAGAGACTTGCTGAAGACCTCTCTAGCAGATATAGAGTTAAGGGGAAAGAGGAATTGCTTTTAGGGAAAAGGAAAGTCAGTGTAGGAGGAGGCAGTGTAAGAAGTTAGAACAGTGACTTCAAAGGCTGAAACTCCCACTTCAAATTCAGGTATATGTCCTCACTAGCCATGTGCTCTGGAAAAGCTACTTAACCTTTCTGAATCCCTGTTTCTTCCACTGTATGGTGGGACAATATTTGTATCACAAAGGTTTCAAGTATTATGAGAATATATATGCATTAATATATATACATATATACATACTAGTAGGATCCCAGCACACAGTAGGCGCTTGATCAGTGGTAACTACTGCTTTGATTTAGAGAGTTATTTAATTAATGGCGCATCAACAGGCCCCCAGGCTCTTGGTGAGCCATAATTAGAGCCCTGAGGATGCTCACAGAGCTCGTTGGGTCAGGGAGGAGATGATTGCCAAGGATACATCCATCAAAGCTACGAGGCTGCGGCACTGGTCCAAGGAGAAAGTATCCCCTGCAGGTCCTGAGGAGGGAGAAGCAGAAGCACTGAAGTGTCACCAGGGGTGGGGACAGGGGTAGATGAGAGTGAGGTCAGCAGGCCTCCAGGATGATGGTACCTTTCAGGAGTTCCTGGTTGAGAAGCCTCTGAAGCTGAGTGGCATCAATGTCCAGGCCCTGATCCAAACAAGGGAGGAACAAAGGCATCAGACAGAGGCCAGGACCTGAGCGCATACCTGTCCAACTCTCCAATTTCCAAGTCCTCCCTTTCCATGTTGAGCCCATCCAGCTTTTGTCTAGAGTCTGACCTGGTGCTCCAGCCATGTCAATAAGTCTTTCCCTGAGCATCCAAGGTGCCAGTCAGTCTTGATTTTTGGAACCTGATCCGGGCTCTGGGCTCTCTTACATTTCTCTCCCCATTTATTCCTGGTATAAAAGCAATTCTTCTTCTTCCTTAAATCCATACCTCTTGCTGGGCATTGGGGAGCCTCTCAGGATAAGGACTATTGAATAAATCAATGCATCCCGTTTAGGTGTGTTCCCCATCTGCTTCCAGAAAGAGCCTCTGTGTGTGTGTGTGTGACAGGAGTTAAAAATACTTGAAATCTAGTTAAGAGAGGCTGCATTAGTTGAGCGCATTATTTAACATTAGTCTTTTCAGTCACTGAAGCAGAAAGGAAGATGTCCTGGCTTTCTTTGGATTGAAAGCAGGAGGCAATGGAGGTTGCAGGGAAAGAAGAACTAAAATTCTGCAGGACTTAACTACATTGGCCTTTCACTGGTGACTCTGGGAAACCTAGTGGGCAGGGTCTTTGATGACAATTTTGTCAACAAGCAGTGCTTCTCTGCTTTAGGGGAACTTTCACTTGGAAAACTGGCACTAGATTGAAGTTTCCCAGTGGGTAACTTTTAGGGTGAGGGTGGATTAGGTGGCAAGAGGTACCTTCTGGGGTTCTCCTAAGAACTAGTACCTCAAAGGGGACAGATTCACTGTCCTGTCCATCTTCCAGGGTTGTTCCATTCCCCTCCAAGAAGAAGCATGGGCCCTTAAGATGAACCCTAAGAAAATGTCCTGCCAGTATCTGAAATTAAAACCTCAGCACAGTGCTCAAACATCTCAAATTTGAGGCATGTCCGGGGAGCTGGTCCTACATGCCTAACAGTAACTGACATTCTCTCCCAAAGAATCCTGACACCTCACTTTGAACTCCAACCTGTATGGAATCGCCCATAGATTACATGCAGTGTGAACTATGGGCCACATCTGCTTCCCTCTCCATATTCCCCATCTTGGATGTATGTCACATCCTGCAACCAGCCAAAGGCAATTGAGGAGATGAAGGCAGGGATGGGAGGCTGCTTCTGTAAACAAGTTCTCCAGGGATTCACATCTGCCTCTATGCCTGTCTGTGAGACACCCAAGGGCTATTCAGTATTCTCCAGTGGAATGTGGTGCCGGGAATATATCAGGTAGTTGGAAAGTGCTTACCAATTGAATATATGATGGATGGATCTATACTACCCCAGAGCCCAAGTTCATCCGCTCTTTCCTATATGCAGACCCCACAATTGCTATGTCTAATGAAACTAACTGTGCTCATAGTAACAAGGTATCCTATTAGTTTACAGCTAGAAGAATCCATATAAGAGAATAAGAGGGCACAGTAAGTGCATGGGGGAACATTTTGCTTTAAAATGTCTTAGAAGGGTGCAGTCTCTAAGGATAATTGCAGGTTGTATAGAACGGTGCCACATGGGTCCTGATCAAGGGTATCTAGCTGAGAGGTGAGCTTGGCACCATTTCTCTGTCTTCCTCTTGTTCTAATTCCCATCAAGACCCAATGTAAGCTGATGGTTACTTTAGGAGGAGACATTTGACAGTTATTTGGGAAACATTGATTAGAGAATCTGCACCTACATGGCAACTTATATTTTTATTGTAGAGGGACAGATATATGAACCATCATGAGAATGCATTGAAGAAGCCTTGTGTTCGGCATCTTGATTGAGACCCACTGACCATGCTGGGGCATGGTCTGGGCATTGCTCTGGGGGGAAAAAAAGAATCCATGTTGTTTCAATTCTAAGAACTGATGATCTTCTCTGGGCCAAAGAATGTACATGAAGTCATCTTTGCCTGTAAGAGCTCACGCAGTGGGGGCAATAATGATCTGGGTTGTCTTGTCATACACCAAGTGAAGAGAGCCCTCAGAGTCAAACTCAGCAGTGGCCTGAATCTTGCACCAGTGTGGCTTCCAGACAGATTCACAGTCAGCTGCATTTTTTGACACATATACTCCTCATTCTCGCAACACTCTTCACTTCGCTTATTTTCCCCAGGCCTGCCTCCTGGATACCAACACCCTATTAGCCTTCTGATTGTAGAGGCAGGGTTTGGCATCCCTTCCTGTCCTTGGTCTCTGCCTGGCCCAAGCCAACATGGTATATATGATCATCTGTATCACTTTCCACTTCCTGAACCAACCTGGTTTTTAATGGTAAAAGGCCCATGTGCAAAGCTCTTGGCAGCTGTTTTATCCTGATGAGTCAAGCGTTTTTTTCTACAACAGTTTGTTAAACCATTAGGAAAATTTCTAGTGCACATAGGAAACTTGGCAGGAAGAGCACCTTTGGTGATTTCTGAAGCTGGCCAGCTCTTGGGAGAAATGATGCCAGCTTGGAGGGAGGGGAACCAATCTGGAGAAGGAAAGATTTCAAAGGATACTACCAATTCCTTGTTTAAAGGTTTAAAACGCAACAGTCCCCATATACTCACCCCATAACCGTCCTCTCCTTTTCTAACTCTGTGTTCTATCATTTGTTACCCAAATAGGGGATAATGTGTGTCTCTTAGAGCTTGGCATCTAGAGAAGTTTTGGAGTTGGTACAGGGAGAGACAGAGTCTGGTTAGAGAACCTATCAGGTCCCTTTTTCCTCTGTATCCTCTTCCTCCGTATCCCTCTTCCTCCATCATTGGCCCTATGTAAGGCTTCTTTAAGCTGAGTACTTTACCTGAGCATATTTGTAGAAAATTCTTTGTTGGGATCCAATTTCTGAAAGACTTCCCTGGATCAAAGGAAAAATAGCTAGTGTTAAACGTTTGGGGCATTGATCAGCTAGGACTGTGAGGGCACAAGTCCCACCTAAATCTGAGAGAGCCAGAAACAATCTTTGTGGAGCGTTAGAAAAGTGAAGTTTCAAAGAAGAAAAGAAAAGCATCTGGAAAGAAAATGGTTGGGTCCAGCCTGGCTTTAGAAACCTGGTCTTCTCCTCCCACTCTTCTCACCCTTTGAGAAATCATTGGTCCATCATGATACCTCTGTTTTCATTAGCCAGTGGTGAGGTGAAGAAGGACAGACAAGCTCTTGGGGATGGGATGGGATGTGGCCAAAGATGGGCTGTGGCTCACCAATGTAACCTTCCTGCACACCTACCTTAAGAGCTCTGTGGCTGAAACTGTGGTTTGCATTCCTAGAAAATCAAGGGAACAGGATCAAAAGGATACCAACTCTCAGTGAGACTGATACATCCTGTGTCACAAGATGTATAGTGGGCAGGCCTGGCCTTAGTGAACAGATGAACACCATGGCTGTGTGTCTATCTTTTTGGTTGACATGCACTGGTCTTGTAAGCATTTCATCCTTCACAATCAGACACATGTGCACAGAGAGACCCACGCTACCAGGAAGATCATGTGTTTTGACTCATGCTCCACCTTGAATTGGTGGTAATGGCTTCCTGGCCCCTCTCTCAGACTCACTATAAAGACTGTATAACTGACTATAACAATGTGTGTCTCAGGCCAGAGGGAGCAGTACAACACTTGTTGATTCCACTCTTGACTCACTGACCTGACATTCAAGACCCTCTTGGATCAGAGAGTCTCTTTTCCTTTCAGGCCTCTCTTCTCTGCCTGACCTACCTTGCATTTCAACCACATTTAAGACACATGGACATACGTCTTATGGTCATCTTTCTATGCAGATGGCCAGTGCTATCTAACTTTCAACAAGCCCTGTACTCACCTACTTCCATGCATCTGCTCAGCCCTTTTTTCTTCTATTTATATATATGACCTTCTCTTTTAATCCATTCAATTCTGTTTTCCTTCAAAACCCATTCATTCCCTTTCTCAGTCCCTCTGAAGAGAGTGGTCCACTACTGTCATCACACGCATCCGTGTATTTAGCAATGGCTCCATCCAGTTAGAGAATAATTATTGGTTCACAGTGAGTTTCTAGAAAGCAGATCTATATTGGGTCTCCACGGACACAGTATGTGCTATGTATAATCCACAGATCATTGGAATTAATGGTGTCATGTGTTTTTTACCCAATTAAGTAGGGAAAAACACTTAGGATCCCCCCAAATCCTGTACCTGTCACTGTCTGGCTTTTTCAGGAAGATTCGGAGCAAGAACTCGACTTTTCCTTTGTGTGCTGAGAGGACCACGACATAGGTCCCAGGGCTCAGATGGCAGAATTTTGTGAAGTTGCTTTTGGTTTTATCATCTATGCCCTGGATAGCATTTCTGAATATGGAGAAAAACGTGGGTGGCAATCTCTCCCGAAAGTGCTGGAACTAGAAGAAACATTATTGTGAGAAAGCTTCCCCACCTCCCTGCATGGGATACTGGTCCCCACCTCTACCCTCTCTGCTCACCCTGTCCTGGCAAAGGAGACAGTGCTGACCTGAAATACCCAAGAGAATACAGATCAGTAGTTCATCACAGTGAATGCAAAGAAATAACGCCGTGCAGCCATCTCACTATGTGTAATTACATTAGGATCTCTGGTTTCTTCCCTCTGCTAACATGACCTCTATGGAACTACTGACACTGTTCTAATGCTGAATTTCTTCTGAGGATCCCTAGATCTCTTTTTGTCCAGCATCTTTAGTGAGATATTCCAGGCATGGCAGAGTTGGATTCTTTCCTTCCTCTGTTTCGTCTCTCCAGCTGAGCCCTGAGATTCCTTCTCATTGGAAAATAATAAGCCCTGATCATTTTCCTTTTATTTCAATATTTTCTTAGCGGTAAAACAATAAATATAATGCAGTTCCTATTATAGGATGTCACATCCATATTACATAATAAAAACCCCTTACTAAACAAATTTTCCCCACTATCGTTGAGCATGGGGATTCCATTTAGAATGGTTATGCAGCATGAAATGATTATTTATGAGCTCTGCCTCAGAGGAAGAACAGGGGAAGGGGAAAGCTTTTTAAGGGGTAGAAATAGGGCTTGGCTCCGAGGTGAGACAGGAGACAGGTCACTGCCCCAGGCATACAGCACAGGGCTGAGTAGAGCCTCTGAAGCAATTCTGCTGATGTAGGTAGTAGTCCCCAGAGTTCTGAGAGTCTGGCTTGCTTGGACACTTCTGACATAGCAATGATGGATCCAGTTCTGCAGAGGGTGAGCTATTCCCTGTGGCCCTGGGTATGTGTGTATGTGTAGAGGTGTGTGCTGTGTCTCCTACAATCTAGAGAGCAGAAGTGGCTTGGCATACCTGCTCTCCCACTTCCTCCCTCCATGATGCTCTTACGGACCTGACCAGGCTCCTGTTCTTTCAGAATGGACTTGCTCAGCAGCACCATCAAGTCTGAGTCATTGGTGACAGGAAGTCTTGGCCTAGCACTTAAAGCCCATTTTGCATTGATATAGGGTTGACTCTAGTATTCTAGTTAGGGGTTTGGCCTTTTTCTGGGCCAAGTCTCTACTCTATTCCCCAGTGCTGGGAGTAAGAATATCAATCTGTTCCTTATACCTGAGTGATTCCTTCAAAGTCCTTCCATATGTTCTCTTTCGACGTGGGGGTGCCAGGGAGCACCTCCAGTTCTGTGGATGAGACCCAGCCTTGGGCCAGGCCTCCATGCTGCCAGCCTTCTCCCTGGACTTCTAAATGTCCACCACTCTGAGATTCCTTGAACTGGCCTCTGTTTTCCTGATGAGGCTCCTCTGCAATGCTTGGAGGGCACACAATCATCATCTACTTCCCATGGCAACATCTTCCTTCCCCTTCTATCCACTGGGCCTTCCTCTTGGAGACAAGGACATTGCCAAAGCTCATAGCATAGAGTTGGAGTACCCATGGGTCACTTTTCCACCCTTCCTCATGGTTAAATCGCCTTTCACCAATACTGGGTCGTGTTATCTGATTACGAGGGGGGACAATTTACTTGTCAGAGTTGCTAGAGGATGTGCTTTGAAACAGCATGTGGAAGCCTAGCATTGCTTTCTGGTGGTTAATTCAGGGGTCCCTTAGTGATGCGCAACTTAACAGATAAGGGTGAGCTTCATCAGTGTTTTCTATCAGGCTCAAGTCCCTCTTGAATGTTAAACAAGAGAACCCTAAAGAGGTCTAACTGCAGAGTAGGGCTGCTAAATATTTTCCTTTTTTGTTGACATGTCTGGAGATTCTAAAATGCTTTCTGATATAAGATGTAGCAAGACTGAACTCACGGCCCAGGGTTGGAAGAAGTATAACGTTTTACCAAGGGATAGCACCGGAGATGTGAGAAGCCTGGTAAGATGGTGGTGAGCCATACCTGAGAGTCCACCTGTGGGAAAGAGGAAGAAAGGTAGTTCAGGAAGCCTGACTGCAACAGGAAGGCAAGTGGTTCCCAGCCTGCTGCAAGTCCCCATGTTCTTTCTTCTTGTGTGATCCACCTGTTTTCTGGCACAGGCTGGGGTGGGGAGATGATTGCTGATTCCTTGTGCAGGGTTGTAAAACAAGAAGCCTACTTATCTGTGGGTAACAGCATGGGAGAGAATTTGATGAGGAAAGAAGGTGTCTGAGAGGATGAGGCAGTTCCTTTTCCCCTCCACAACATGTGGTTACTGTTCATAACAATGATGAGAATATAGGAAGAAAAGGCGAGGCATTGGCAGGGCTTGAAGATAAGACAGGACACGGATCAAATGCATATTCCCCAAGGTCAAGTGCAAATTCCCCAAAGCCAGGAGCTTCCATGAGAAGGCAATTTCAAGGATTGCCTTGTACCCCTGTAAATACGATGGGAATTTGTTCTAGGACCCTCGGTGCTTGTAGGGATGGATGTTTGGGGGTACATGTGAATGAGAAGACGCTGTGGTTCCCTTCTTTCCATTCAGTGGGGTGAAGCACTGAGGAAGCAGTTCTATCTTTAAACCTCTCTGCAGTTTGTGAAGTGTTCCTATGTCAAGTGCTGGACATTCACCATGAACTTGTGAGCAGACACTAGGTATCTTACATTATGCATGTGGAAATCCAGGCTCAGTAGTTTAGGTAGAAGGGCTAGAAATAAGGCACGTTGTGTTGTGCTTTGTAAGAAGGTCCATTACTTCTGGGCACAGACTTTCCCAGGTTATGTGGCTTTTAATTCTTTCCCACTATGCAACCTGGACAGACCAGTTGATTTTCCCAGGTATTTCAGCCAGGGGAAAGCCGGAAGGGAAGGGTGCAAGTCCATTCTGGAGGGGGAGCTTGTTCTTGTCCCAATTCACTACTCTGACTTGACCCTGCCTGTTCATACACCATTGGCGTTCTTGTATTAGTCCAGCAGAGCAGTGTTCCCACAGCAGCCATAGAGTCACTGGCCACAAACCTGGAGCCTCAATTCAGCTGGGTCAGCACTGAACCCTACTTAGTCCTGGGGCTGCCTGAGAGCCTGGTCTTTGGCACATACATTGGTTGCTACTCAGCTGAATTGCAAATGGTGTCTTTTGAGTTGTCAAGGGCTAAAACCTTGGTGTTTAATGCACTTGAGATTCTGAAAGATCCAGTGGGATCTCTAATGCTCCTGCAGCAAACTGAGCACTAATATATTTCTGGTGGAAAGGAGAAAAGTAACCCAGGTAGTATTAAAAAACTGGCTGAGGTACTGCCCAGATCAGGGGTCCCAGGCTTGTATGTGATGATCAAAAGGCAGGTGTAGGAGTTGTGACCCCAGGAAGTTAGATCCTCTCATGTCTTCTTTCTCACCTGAAGAAAAGCGAAAATTGTTGAGCTTTTCTTTTTGAATAGACTTGTCTGGTGTTTGGTGCTTGACCTGATCATTCCTGGCCGGTAGATCAGGTGTCTCAATTTTTTCACTGCTCTTCCCAAATTTTCCCTTTACCTCTAGCCTTGCGTTTTTCTCACAATCCAAAGTTGGAGACACTGAGAATAAGAACCCTCTCACAGTAAGGGAAAACTGTACCTCGTTTGAGAGAGCAAAGTGGAAAGACACTGATTGGAAGGGAAGCTCCCATAGTGTGTGTTGCAGCTTGCATGGTTGGGCAGGAAGTGCATGGGAACCCCATGAGGGGTTGGACTGAATTGCTACTGCTGGGCTCAAAGATTTACTGTAAATAACCTTTGGCTGTTCCTACCCCTTTACTTAATTCTTCAGCAACCAAAGCTTTGGAGTGGCCAGATGTGATACCTTGGTGAGGGTAATATCAAAGGGGACAAATCTAGGTCACACATCTACATTTTTTGCATCCGAGGTTCAGGGAGAGATAACATTTGGCCTCTTTAGCTGCTACAGTAAGAGCAGGTCTCTTCCTCATACCAAGATGCCCTGAAGGTGGAAAGAGTGTTCAGATGTCAGGCGGTAATAAAAATGACAAGTATCTAATATTGCATCCCTAAGAGATGTTCTTTAATAGCTTAGGCAGACTTGAGTACCTCTAAAGCATTTTATTGAATCCTGACAATTTCTCTTCTATAGGCCACATATATCTGGAACTTTGACTATTGGTGAATTTAACAAAAGTAATAGGAACATGTAAAGGTTACAGAAATATCCAGCAAGAGAGAAATCTCTCTTGGCAGAACTAGAGTCCTTGTTTCTCTTGGTACTCTGGGCATTACAGAAAGGCAAATGCCTAAGCTCTGCTGAGATCTAGGACCCTAAGTGCTGGCAATAAACAGGACCCCATCACCTCTAGCTTTGCCTTCAAAAGCTCATTCTTGCTTTCCAAGCTTTGGCTTCCACATCTATAAAGTTGGGGATAATCGAGGTTTTGAGACAATGAATGTGAGTATCCCTATGGCTTTGAAGTTTCGTATTATCATGAGGCCTTCTCCCTAGGGAGGTCCATGACCAGTGTACAAGACTGGTCCCATCAGAGAAGAATACCCAGGTGCCCTGCCTGACTACAGGTGGGCTACAAATGGACTTTGAAACTTGCCTTAGTGCCAGTGAGCAGAAACTAAAATCGTTCTGAAATGTCAATCATAGCTTGACCCCAGTCTATTAACAGACCTCTGGCTCTATGGTGAAAGGTGTGTTTGGCAACACACTTAGGGAAACCGTACCTAGTTCTAGTTCTGCCATGAGCTCTGACATGAGCCCCATGTCTTCAAGTCTGATAGGAGATGAGTGTTCTCCAGCATGTGAGAGACATGTGCTCTTTATTAGTGCCAGAAAGCTGTGGGATGAATGACTTGAGAACGTCATCTTTATCTTTGGGATACGTTGAAATGTTTGGGAGAGAAAGAGGAAATAGAGGTATCAGATTTTCTGATGTAACCTTTCTTTTATATGGTACTTTAACAACTGAATTTCCTGGTTATAGCCTCATAGTGGAATGCATGCTGATACCTGGTTGGGATTGTCAGGGAGGAGAGAGGAACCTGGGATAAAGAGTAGCCCTGGTTTTGGAGAAATGGCCCAGCAGATGCTTTTGCATATGAGTCACTCACTGAGCTAGGGCTGGACTTTGGGCTAAACATAAGAGAAAACACACTTTGAGTTTATACCTGGTATTTTCTTAAACTCTTCCCAAAAAAGTAACCCAAGATTCTCAACATAAGAACTACAAGTTGCCTGGGAAGAGCTTGTTAAATTTCAAAGTTTCTGACTCTGTCCTTGTAGATTCTGACTCAGGAGATCTGAGGCTGGCCGAGGAATCTGCATCAATACAACTACTCTTGGACCAGGCAACTTTTTGAGGTATGGGCATTCGATCCTGTAGCATAACAGGGAAACCCAACAAATGACCCTGCCAAGAGGTATGTCCTTTGGTGATATTGTCAACTCTAATCTCCTTGCTAGTTTTTTGGAGTTCTTGAAAATTGGGAATTGGACAGATGAACACCACAGATGTTTGGGGCTTTATCTCCAGATCACTGGTGGATGTACTCAACATTCCCAGCCTGATTGGTGGTTATCCCCAGTCCTATTACTACATGCAATTGTCCCCCAAAGGACAAGCCCTGAACCAGGTGGCCTTACCTTGAATACCTGGAAGGATAGTGGACATTCCTCATCTTCTGCCTTTAAGCTCTGTGGCATGACAGTGACCGACACAACAGCATTGTTGCCTTCCATGAGCTCTCGCACAGAGAAGAAGTATTGAGAATCACTCTCAGGTCCTCCTGTGTGAGAAAGAGCCCTTGCTGGTGCTTATCAACACGCAGACTTCTCGTTGGGGCCATATTCAGCTCAGAGAGCTCTGTGAAGTAAGGTTATAAACTCTGGATTTGGAGGCCTGAGATCTGGATCCCTTCCCCAGAGTCCTAGTTCCTTATATTCTCAGCCTCAGTCTCTTCATCTTAAAAATAGGAGAGTATAGTCCTTCCTTCGTTAAAAAAAGCCTTAAATTTGGACACAAGGGCCATTTTGATCATGGCAAGTGACATTCCAGTGTCCTCAGGCATGCATGAACTTACACACTGGCAGTACATCAGAGTCTTAAAATGGCATCAGGCATCAAACATCAATGGGGGCATGGAAAAACAGGCAAGGAGATGACAACTCACAGTGCCTTCTATGTAGGCATGCTCACTGAAGCCAAAGCAAAGAAGAAAGTGAACTAATGTGGGAACCATAGATTTAAATACAACCAGCAATGCTGATAAGTCAGGATAGAAATGGGTATGAGAACGTTTGGATCACAACTGGGAGGATTTGGAAAGGGATGGTTAGACATGGAGGACTGTCATGATCATGGGATTTCTATGAGGACCAAATAAGAGGATACACATAGTAGGACCTCAATTGCCTGTTCCTTCCCCTCTATTCTTGTAAGGAACTACTTAAAAATGGCTCTAGTGTATAATTTTGGTTAGTTCATTAGTATGCATTTTATCCAAAGAAGAGGGCTGTGGTTATGTGGTCAGACTGGTACAGCTCAGGAAAACGAATCAGTAACAGTGACCCAGCTGACCTGGAGAGTCAGCCCAAGGTCTCCTGATGAAAAAACTCTCTGAGTACCAGTGTGATCAAGAGGCTATAAGTCAAAAATGGGGTCACCTGGGGTCTAGGGTCAGTCAAGTAAAATATTGTGGACAGGTAGGTACAAACATACACGTACACAATCACACATGCATATGTTGTTTACAGCTTCCTTACCAATGATATATTAGCATACTCAAATTTGAATTCACTTCTTAATGTTACAAACAGGAGGGAGGTGATACAATGAGAGAGAAAACTTTTTAAGGTCACAATCTATGCCATACATTTCAGGACAGCCCAAAGACAGGCTCAAAGGTACCTACTACTGCTGCCTTACAACCCAGACAGGATAGGAAGTTCTCCCTGGTTTCTGGATAGTGTTTTGTACATTCAAGGAAAGACAGGGATTATTAATTCTAATGTTTATAGTTAGGGAGGCTGAGAACAAAGAGACAAGGTATATTCTTAGAGTCGCAAAGGTAATGTACATCAAAGATAATGGATTAACCTGGCTATTTATTGAGGAGCAGACAGATTGCTGAAGTCCTGAAGGTGAGTGGGATTGTAGAATGGCATGAAGGGACATCCTCCTTTTTATACCCACCATCAGCCATTTTCCTTGGAGGGAGCAGTAGCTCTTCCTTTAGGCTGAGAAATCCCTCTCTTTTCAGCTTCTGGCTAGTATATATACAGAATCAAGGCAGAAAGCACTGAAATGAAGGCTTGTGCTAGAGCTGACTGCTTTAGGTCAGTCAGAATGACCACTAATGTCATACCTACCTGCAGTGTTTCCTAGGTTCTTAAATATCATTTGTCCCCATCTTTCATGAGGTGTGAGTCCATGGTCCAATGTAATTGGTACTTGATTACATATAAACAGGCAGGAAAAGTTCTCTTGGAAATCTTGACATGACATCCTGTGGAAAACAGATGCACATGACTGAATGACCACTGGTTGTGTTTCCAGGAGGAGGGTCCATCTCCTTTGGCACCATCTGTGCTTTCCTGAAGTTGACTCTCCACTGTCCTACCCAAAGGCCACCATCTGATTCTGGTGTATTCAGCATCAATCACCTTCCTGCCTCAGTCCCTCTTCCCTCCTGGTTTTGAAAGGGCAAGGGCAGAGTCAAAGTCTGGGTTTTGGTCTGTCTTTTGGTAGGAAAAGTATCACTACCAATTTCCCTGATCCATTAATTCAACTGCGGTATTCTCATGGCCAGCAGGATGCTGTCCAGGCTTTCTAGGCTCTGGGTCCTAGATTCTGGCAGAGCTTGCCCTTCCAGGGGGCTCTTTGCCAAGCACATTGTTGAAGTCTTTATAAAAACAAAAATGGATTACTTATGTAGCTGTAACCTCCCTGTTTATCACTTTTACAATAAAGATATAAAAAATGGATCCCACACCTAAAATTCCCACCTCCTACTGTGATGAATGTGGAGATATTGGGAATATTTTTCTTTTATATTTGTCCCTCTGATTCCCAATAATTTAGAGCCAGGCCCCTAGTCACCCATGCTAAATTACATTTAAATATGACAATAAGTAAACCAGATAGCCCGTCTAGGAAATGTCCATCTTCTTCAAAGATGTGTGCATATAGCAGGTGTTTTCTTTCTTCTGTTTTTTTAAACCTAGCTCTGAGCATGTATTTTCTCTTTTTTTTTGAGCATGTATTTTCAAAACATTGATTTCTGCATGATATCTGGGTAATGACAATGACATCCCACCCAGAACACTGGAGTTGGGCTGGAAGTTGTGGGATCCCCATGGGAGGGAACTGAAGTTTTAGAATCCTCACAAAATGGCATGAAGATGTGGGCTCTAGTTTGCAAGGAGCTGTTGGTTTGAAGCTTCTGATATCATTCCCCTTTGCTGTCAAACTGCCCAGAAAAGTCCAGTGTCTCATCACCCAGGTGGTTTTTAGCCCAAGAAAGGGTAGATAGCCATACCCCATCTATGTCTCATTAGAGAAAATAGATTCCTCCAAATGGATCTTTGCAATGTTATTTCCATCCTCATGAAAGTTTAGGGAAAGGAGGAAGGGTTGAGAGCTTGGACAGTAGTTAAGAGATTAAAAAATTGTTTTTTTGTCAGTCATGGGGCTTGAACTCAGGGTCTGGGCACCGTTCTTGAGCTCTCTTGCTCAAGGCTAGCTAGCACTCTACCACTTACGGCCATAGTTCCACTTCTGGTATTCTGATGGGTAATTGGAGGTAAGAGTCTCATGAACTTTCCTGCCCTGGCTAGCTTTGAACCATGATCCTCAGATCTCAGCTTCCTGAGTAGATAGGATTGCAGGCATGAACCACCAGCACCCAGCTAAAACACCAATCTTAAAGAAGGGTATATACCAAAACTCTCCATCTTCTTTGTTCTCGTACAGCTGATTTTTCCGTCGGTCACGGGTTTCCTGCCACTCCCAGGACCTGTGTGTATAGAGAGACCATAGAGAAATGCTTTGCCTATACTACTGATTCCCTACGTGCTCCACAGAACAGGTGTAGAGCCCTCTTTGAGCACTGTTACTCTCTACACCACTCCCATCTGTAGTTCAATAGTCAGTTCCCTGTGTTGCTATTGTTCCTTCCTGGCTAGGGCTCTTCTTGGCTAGCCTTAAGCAACAAGAGATCCATGACTTTGCTCTCCATGCAATCAGTTGTGTTTAACACACATCTTGACACATGATTTGTATGCAATAGACTTTTGCTTCTTTTCCTATTTAATTGATCAATACTGGGATAATGTGTCACAGAAGTTGTCCTAGGGTCTGGTGTGGAGAAGACCCTCCCAGCAAAAGGGAGAAGCTGCCTTCCCTTCAGTCCACGCTCTAAAGTGGAGGCATGCACCTAAGCAATGGGCCCCAGAGGCACAACAGTTTAATGAGATCTTTCCAGTGGAGGGTCCACACCAGGAGCCTGGGTCACTTTCTGTGCCAGGACAGCAGGATTACCACTCCAGCTTCCGGCTGTAGGCTGAGGCAGTCAGATGTGTTATTGTAAAATGGCAATTTTATAATTAAGCGATAATTACATTTTTTTCTGCAGTGTGTAAGGGAAAATAAATGTAGTGTAAATCAATATGCTATTGATTCATGCAAGTTTGCCTTTAAGTGTGTGCGACTGAAATTTCAATTATGGCTGAGATTAGACCATCCGGCTCTCCCCATCCATCTCCATTCCTAAAAAGTCGGGAAGAAATCGACTACCTACATGGAGACATCTTCACCACTTCCTTCCAGACAGGGTTCTGGTGTATGTGCGCGGGCCTGGAGGTGGGGAAGCGGGGGCATGTCTACAATGAGCAGAGGGACATGATTCTACAGAATAGGTGCTGTTCTGCATTGTATCTCTCCCCTGTTCAGAGACCATTCATACCCATCCCTGAAGAGTTTGACTCCAAGATTTGGTTGTTCCCTTTGCCTGTCCCTGCTTCAGGCCAGCTTGTTGGTCATGTTCCTGGTTAGGGATCCTGCTGTGCTCCGCTCAACCCCGTTTCTTCTGAAATGCACCATCCCCCCACCCCATGTTCACTGTCCTCTGTGAGGTTCTCACTGAACAGTGCCTATCCATGACACTCTTTTCCTCCCTGAGGTGGCCCTTGTCACCTTCAATGGCCACTTGACATTTCCCATAGGAGGCATGGGTGAAACACCAATGCTTGTGACTTTATTCTTTCTCTGCCCTAGGGGATCTGTCATCACCTCCACTCCTAACAGCCAACCCGAAATCAAGGATTCTGGCTGCTGAAGTTACCCTTCTGGGCCAGCTTGGATGAGGGCTAGGAAGGAGAATGGGAAAGAGCCAGAGGTTATTAGGCTTTACATCAGAATGTTGTGGGATAGGAAAGGGCAGGAAGAAAACACAGAGGCAAGAGACAAGGACAGCAGGAGACAGGAAGTAAAGACACAGTGGAGGCTGGATTAGTGCCTGGCTTTACAAGTTCATTTCCCTCCCGTAAGAGGTTTGGCTGTTCTGCTCTCCAGGCGGCATCGGAGGTCATATCCAGGGTGACTCTATAAAGTCATTTCGCTGTTTCCTGCCTATTGTCCCCTTTCCCTACCATCATGCCCTCATCTCATGTTTGACGCGTGCCCACGTAGGTCAGTCACACACAAGCCCCTGAGGTTCACAAGGAATCAGAAAGGTCCTACCACAGCTTGTCCTGGGGTGGCAGGCTAGGGTCTGGCCAGCCCATTGGGCCTGGCACACTGGCCGTCTACATCTGCCTTCCAGAGCTGACTGTACTCACTGTATTGATTTCTGCTGCTCATTGGGTCCTGCTCTGTTGGAATGCATTGCATGTCCTTTTCAATCATGTTCCCCATCCCCGCTGGCAAGAATGCTGCGACACTTTTCATGGGCCTGGCACAGGCCTTCCGTGGAAGGCAACAGGACCCAGCTTACTAATCACTAAGAGGTACAGGCAGCTCACTGCTGCCCCTACGTCCTTCCCAGAACAATCCTCTCATTCTGAGTCAGCAAGACAGATGGCAGGACACCAAGGGTAGGTCATATGGTAGCCGAGAAAGCCCAACTCAGCTCCCTAAGGAAACCACTGAGCACACAGCTAGGAGCTTTGCTGGGATCTATTTGTCAGAGTTGGGTGACCCACCTACTCTACCCACTCTTAACATGGCTGAGGTGGGTTTCACAGGAAGTCCAGATCAGTTAACAGGACTCACCACCTGAGCACACAGAGGAAAAAGCCCATCAGATCTTTGCCTTGATTTTCCCAACTCCCTTAGCCATGAAGCCTTTCCATCTTGATCCCATGTCGTCATTAGGACTAGAATATAGAATACCCAGGACCCCTTCCAGGGATAAAGCATCTCTCTCTCTCTCTCTCTCTCTCTCTCTCTCTCTCTCTCTCTGTCTCTCTCTCTCGCTTGGCTCCTGCTCTGCCACACACTCTCTTTGCTAATCTTGGCTACACTTTTAGCCTTCTGAATGACAGAAACCAAGTCTTGTCATCTACCTATAGCTTTCAGCACCCACCTGTCACCTCATATGATGTATACTTCCCAGAGCATGCGTAATATGCACATAATAGATGCCTGAAGAAAGGCATCATGGGAGCTGGAGTTGCACCACAGCCACACCGAGCTATAGATTGGACAGGCTGCAGTTGGGCCTGCAGCAAGTGGCTCTCCCAGCCCCAAATTCTCAATGAAGAATTTATGGAGGTTTCCAGAAGCCATACCCATCGCTCCAGCGCCCTCTCCATTCCTTCTTGCCCCAGGGGTTCCACAGGCGGATGATTTCTTCCCAGCCCCTCCTGTACTGAATCTGTAATAAAGAACAACAAAGGGAACTGTCAGGTTTCCTGGTAGAAGTCAGCAGAAAGAGGGAATACAAATGCAGCTGCTTTTTACCTCCCAGGACTAATTTAACTTCTGACCTCATTTGCCTGTAGCCAGAAGGGAAAAAAAACCCCAATCAATGACTCCCTTCTGCCTGCACGGTGTTGGAATGAGAGAGGGGAAAAATGGCTTTGTTGTCTTCAGCTGGGCACGAGGAGGACAGGTGCAGCTGCCCACTGTGCCATGCGGCTGCATTCTGGAGCCTGGATCTAGCAGCAGGTAAATAGCTCAGACTGCAAGGGAGAGAGCTTTATGGGTTCCATCTTCCTACAAGCCCCATCACCGACAGCATCTCGATCCCACAGACAGCCTGCATTCTTCGAGCCTCTTAGACTGCAGTGCAGCAGTAATGGCTCTGTCCTGAGTGAGAGGGTAGAGGAGACTGATACAAGCAAGACTGGGGTAGCCTGGGAGCTGAAATGTCTGAGGCTATCCCTCCTCACTCTGCATCCTGGCCCTGGCCAGACTGTCATCTGAGAGTAGATGGCTTGCAATGGCCTGAATTTGCATTCTTTCTTCCTCTCCTCTACTTTCCTCTCCTCTCTCCTCCCTTACTCTCTCCCCTCCCCTCATCCTCCCTCCCTTTCTTCCTTTTTTCCTTCCTTTTTACTCTCCCTTCCCTCTTTCCTTTCTTTACCCTTTCCCTCCCTCCCTCTCTCCCTCTTCCTCCCTCCCTCACTATTCCTTACTTTAGATACTCCTTTGCTCATTTATTCCACATAATCCAGAGGGTATATCTGAGGGGTTGTTACAAAAAAAAAAGCCAGCAAACCTTGAACCACGTTTGTGGGAGCCAGTATCCCTCAATCTGGATGAGGGACAAAAATAAGATTGAGGTATAGCTGGGCTTATTGGTCTGTGAGCTAGTGTCTCCTCTAGGCAGACAGAGGAGTGAAGGAAAGAGAATTTGTTTCCTTACTCTAAGTTGCAGGAAGCTGAGCAAACTGAATAGCTTGTCGCCATCAGGAGGAGAAAGTCCACATGCTCAGGTAGCACTTGGAGGCAGGCCCTGACCAACATGAATTACATTCTTCATCCCTAGGACAGACGTTTCCACAATCCTTGTCTAGCAGATGAGGAAACTAAGCAATCAGAGAGGTTAAGCATCTTTACTGAAGCCACATAATTAAGTGGCAGAGACAAAATTTTAATACGAGCCTTTGTCAGACTCTCCATTTTGGAATTCAAGGTGGATAAAGGACCCTTCTTGATGTGGTTGTCACCTTAGCCTCAAATACAACCCATAAGCCACTTGACCAAGGCCTGTACTCTTACCAACAGGGCATTGCCTGGAGGAGCAGCATAGTTACCCAAGGCCCCTGACCTTAGCTCTGATCAGGTTTTTTCCTTTGCTTCTCACTGCATCTCCAAATCTCTACATCTCTGCTGGCTCCCAGTACCTGGTCTCTATGATAGCGCCTGGCATAAACCCAGGTTTTCACCTTCCCAGACTCACCCCCAAAAGCCTTGCACACAGTTTGTCATTGGCTGCCAGCACCAGCTAGAGCCCATGGAGCGGGTACTTGAGAAATGGTTGCCTGGTGGCCCTCAGAGCTTAATGAGCCACGCTCAGTGCCCAATGGATAGTTGGGGGCTCAGTTGGGCATGGGGAGGAAAAGCAGCCAGTGATGGGAAGGGGCTGAGTGCAGGGCTAAATGAGGCATGCTGATAAACACGCACCCCCCCCAGCCCGGGGGAGCCACCAGGAACTAGGTGCATAATAAAAAATGCCAATTTCATTTATCTTCCTGTCTGTGTCCTGCCTAGAGGGAGGATGAGCAGATTAAAAAGCACACTACATTTATAGGCTGCCTGAATCTTAGTACTTGTGGCTCAGAGTTACAGCCTGTTCTTTCTGGAGGAGGAATTTGTAACCAAGTCTAGCTCTGGTACAACCGTACTGTTCAATAATGTCCTACTGGTGATCACAAGAATGGGTTACCTCATATGCTCTGCTTGTTGACCATACTCCTAACTAACTCTTTCAGAAAATGTACTGCTGGGAAAAAGGTAGCTCAGTTTGTCTATCCTAGAACAGTGGCTCTTTAGATAGATTTTCTTTTCTTAAATTAATATACATTTTTATTGTAAAGATACTGTACAGAGGGGTTACAGTTAAATGAGTACATTTCCTATTGAGCATTGTTACCTCCTCCTTTGTTTTTCCTCTACCATCCCTTCCTTCCCCAACTCCCAAACTCTCCCTCCCACCCGAAGTTGTAAAGTTCATTTTCTTTTTTTTGGGGGGGGGTCTGGTCGTGGTACCTGAACTCTGGGCCTGGGCACTGTCCCTCAGCAATTCAGCTCAAGGCTAGCGCTCTACCACTTGAGCCACAGCGCCACTTCCGGCTTTTTCTTTTTGCTTATGTGGTGCTGAGGAATCAAATCCAGGGCCTCAGGCATGCAAGGCAAGCACTCTACCACTGAGCCACCTTCCCAGCCCTAAAGTTCATTTTCAACATAGTGTCTTGTACAACTCATTGTTACAATGGGTAAACCTGTATCCTTGTTTCAGCATTTTGTTATTTCCCTTCACCTCCCCAAATTAGAAAAAAATATATATGTATGATGCAGGGCACTGGAATCAAATACAGTGACAACAGGGGTTATGCCATGGGGGGAAGAACATACAAAAGAAACAAAAAATCACATAGTACATTAAAAACAACCGCAACAAAGATAAAACCTCTTGGGTCTCTATTTTGGGTTCATTTCAGTTAGCATTATCTTATCTGGTCATATGTACACAGCTTTTGACCTTTTCTGCTTGTCCTAGTCATATATTAATTATTGCAGATAAGAGAAACCATGATACCTATGTTTCTTTGGGCCTGGCTTACTTCACTTAATATAAATTTTTCCAAGTTTTTTCATTTCCTAACAAATGCGGTGGTGTCATTCTTTCTAATGGAGGCATAGAATTCCATTGTGTGTGTGTGTGTGTGTGTGTGTGTGTGTGTATGTGTGTGTGTGTATCATATATATCACATTTTCTTGATCCATTCATTTAGATGGATTTTTGTAAGCACTAGTTTTATTGGCCATTAATAGTTATTCCTAGACAAAAAAATATTTTATAGTTAATGGTAAATTAAAGTCAAGCAGTAATTGTTTTGTTAATATAGCCTTCTCCAGGCCTCTAAACTGCTCATGTACCCTGTGCTTCTCCAGGAAGTAGAAATGGCAGGATGCATGTTCCAAATGTATTTAGAAATGTGTTTACACAGAAGATCTCCCAGGCTCCATCTTCTGAGGACACATCTTTCCAACTGTCAGCTGCTTGGAAGGGCAGGGCAGGATGGACCACACAGGACAGGTGGCCATGATCACCTATCTTCCCAGGTGAGATGCTCTGTCTAGACCACCCCTTCATCCCTTGTCCACTGTAAACATCATTAATGCCCACAGCTCTCTCATTCTGGAGGAAGCACCAAAGTCTGATCAACACAGGAAGCTAGATAGCATGGCCGAATGATAAGAGGTATCACAAGAATAAAACATATTTGCTATCCTGAGACTTGTCCACATTGGTAGCCAATGGAACAATAATATTGATTGCCCTTCAGGGAAGGGAAGAGCAGAATGGTTGGGGGACAGCTCCAAGAACAAGAGGACCAGGATCTCTTGACCTGTACATATCAGGGCAAACTCTTCCTTAAAAGCATAGATGCCCCCTGGCCTCTTTCTCTTCCCTTGGCTTGGTGTTGTGAGCACTTTGCACACTTGTTTTGAGCTCAGACATGAAATCCTCTATTGAGGATGGCAGAGCCATTCAGGATTACTTGCTTACCCAAGGGAGAAATGAATTTAATCTTGGTTAAGTCCTAGATTTTAGAGAGACTTTGTTATATCAGTTTAGCTTGTATGTCACAAAGGAAACCTATCTCAGGGCAAAACTTTCCCAAGTGTCACTTGCTGTGTGTATAGGTGAGAAGGGGTTCCATTCTACCTCTTCGGGGCTAATATTTCATCTAGCTAGCTACTTGACCTAAATCACTCCATGGAGAGCAAGGATTCCTGGGGATTCCTAAGGAAAAAGGGTCCTGGGTGCCAGAACTTTGGATAGAAGACACTGAGGCTGTTTGTGGAGGGGCCATGGCAGGGCTGGGGTCATGTCTACTTTGCTGGTCTTTCTGGAGGCATGTGAAGCTGGCCTTTTATTCAGAAGAGCAATAACAAAGGACAGAGTATAGGCAGAGACTTACTTCAGGCCAGTGGGTCTGGCTTACCTGCTCAGCCCCCGTCACCGTGTAGGCATGCTGGCTCACAAGTCCGTTCCCCATCACTGTAGCCTCATCTGTCACCTATGGAGGAGAAAAGCAAAGGCAACACTCAGCCCTCACAGGCTCTTCAGAGCGGTGGAGAAACCCATTTAGATAGTGATTGAGCCATCACGGCCTCAGGCCCATTGTGCCCACTGAGTGTGTGTGCTAGAGAAGCAGAGATGGTGGCTAAGAGGTGGATGAGGCTCTAGATATTTGTTGTCCAGGAAGATACCCACCCCCTCCCCATGATGGACAAACACCACCACCCCCACACATACACACACAGCCTTGAGGACCTGAGTGGCTTATTCTACCTAACAGTTGTCGTCAGCAAACACAGCATGAAACACATCTGCTGGGGCTTTTGCTGGACTCAGGGGTTCCTGATGTCCCTGAGATGAGAAAGCACATCTTTGGATGGTTCTGTGTTATGTTCAAAAGTGCAGGAAGCCACCCTAGTTAGGGAGCTGGATATCTCAGAATAATCTCAAATAAGACAGAGATTCTGTTAAGACGACCCTTTGCTCAGTGAAGAAAAACACGGAAGGAGCTTCCCCCAGCACCAGGAGCCACCACGGAGCCCCCAGTGTGTGGCAAGGCCCCTGGGAACTCTGTACGTGGCAGAAGGTCAGCCATATTAACCCTGCTCAGCGCTTCCTGGCTGTATGCTAGTGTGACTTTATTTGGCCTCTCTGATCCTTTTCTGAGTAGTGAATTCTGGACTCTGTGTCTCAGAGGAAGGACTGCTGTAAGACTGAATGAGGTAACCCTGAGGAAACTCACTGTTGGTGCTATGTAGAGTTCACTTGTCATTTCTGTCTCTAGCTGTGGGCCCTGGGTATGGAGAAACTCAAACAAAGGGACCCCCCTTTACTCACCCCTTTTGGGGTGGCACAGGTCATTAGAGAGCCTGCCCTGGCTGCTGTCTTCACCATCGTCAGCAGATCTGAAGGGGAGGAGTGGAGGTTGACGCTGGAGACCACCCCTCCGGTGAGGTCCACCAAGGCGTCCGGGAGGTAGCCGTAGTGCAGGTGAGAGTAGGACCCTCGCAGCCTTTGTGGGGTGAGAGTTAGGTTAGACCTCAGAGTCACTTTGGGAGACACTCTGGAGCAGGAGATGGCACACTGCTCCTATTTTCCAGGTGAGGCATTTTGCTTGGTCCACTCTGAGTCATAATGCCCGAGGAGAGAAGGCCATGGTGAGCCTTTAGTAAGCACTGGACAATACTCACATGAGAGTCCCTAGCTGCTTCTTTGGTGTGACAATGTGCTACACACTAACAGTGTGCCCGTGACATGCTCGCTGTGTGCTCAGAGAAGAGCCAGACCTCATCCCTGCCCTCAAAGAACTCACAGTCGGGATAGGCACAGTGGCTCACATCTGTAATCCCAGCTACTCAGAAGGGGGAGATTGGATGGATCATAGTTGGAGGCCAACCAGAGTTTAAAAAACATAGAGAGACAAAGGACAAGGGGGAACCAATGCAACAGCAATATACACAAGACAATATGCTGGAAATGATCTGTACAACTTGGGGGCAGGATGGGGGGGAGGGAAAGTAGGAGAAAAATGAGGGAAGGGGTACCAAGTTTGATAAGAAATGTACTCATTACCTTACTTATGTAACTGTAACCCCTCTGTACATCACCTTGACAATAAAAAAAGAGAAAAAAAATTAGTGAGATCCCCTCTCAACCAATAAACTGGTGTGAACAGCTATATGGGTTGCAGAGTTGGCAGGATCTCAGTCGAGGCCTTCCTTGAACAAAAATACAACATAAAGAAAAAAACCCTATAATGTAAAAAAGAGCTGGGAGTGGTTCAAATAGTATAGTGTTGGCCTAGGAAAGTACTCAAAGCTACCATTCCTAAACACCCCTAGCACCTCAAATCAGGAGGCATGAGGTGGCTTTCCTAAAGCCAACATAAGAAGGGAGAGGGGAACGTATGAACCCTCAGATCCGTCCTCCAGAGCCCCCTTCTAGGCTATTCCCTGCTGATAACTGTTTCCTTCTACTCTTGTACCCCACAAGTTCCCTGTCTTACCTTTCTCTCAATGGCCCCAAACCTCAGCCGCCCATGGCAAGTATGTGGGTCCCCTTCCTAGCTCCCCTTCATGAGCTCTCAATCCCTGGGCCTAGGAGGTGGGCAGTAGCACACCGGCCTCGCTGGGCTATATAGAGCTCGTGAGTGAATGAATGTGCACGTGACATGGAACAGCCCTTGTCTCCCTGTGTGTACAGAAGGCACATAGAGCAGCCGCCTTCCACTTCTCTCTGTCCGCCCGCCACCACTGTGCTGGGCTATCAAGACACTCTTCTCAGGAGATATTAAAAACAACAAACACATCAAGTTCTTTACTCGCCTTGGGTGTCTCTTTGTTACTAGATCAATTGGATCACCACAGAACAAAACAGATAGATTAATACCCCTGGGGTCTGAGGGGTGACTACACTCTAGGTCTGTGTTCAGAGAGGAGGATGGGCATTCTAGGGAGGAAGAGTCAATCTGGGGAGGTTCCTGAAACCAGAGGAGCACACTAGGGTGGGTGGGGTGGTGGCGATGGGGCTGGTCCAATCACAGTGACGACACCACTGAAGCAGAGGCTCCGTGGGGAGGCCGGTGAGTAAACCGAGGCTTCCTGGGGATTTCAGAAATACAGCCAGAATTAAATCTCGAAGGACAGCAGGTGGAAGCCTGGGAGACCCTGGGGCTGTCTCCTGGCTTCAAAATTGCCCCATGGGAGGGGTTGCCCCCTCCGCCTCTGCCACTGGGGATCCTCTGCAGGGTCCTGGAGGAGGGCCCTTCTTAGGTGGTGGGCAGCAGAGGTGCTGCTGCTGCTACATTCTTGTTTTATAGAGTGCTGCAACATCAGATAAGGGTCAGGAGTCTGGACCCAGGCCTGCTGCTATCACTAATAGGGTCTTGGGCCTTTACCAAGCCCCTTCCCTATTCTGACCTCGACTTCTCAGCTGGCAACAGCACGGTATACAGGATCATTCTAGGCCCTCAGATACTCCTTTTCCATTCTTCTCTTTATCCTCTCCTCCTGGAGAGAGTCCCAGACCCCCAGCAAACTCACGTCAACAAGTACATATCACACAACCATGGTGAGCAGAACACCATCACAGGCGAGCATGCTGGGTATGACTTCGAAAGCCCGTGATTACAGAAAGCTAAGGATCACCAGAACAAGGAGCAATTCTGCAGGAACAACGCTGTGACCATGTTGTCTGGCTTGTTTAAAACTGATCTCCTTCTCTGACCTTGAATTAAGATCCACATTAGCCTCTGGAGCGTTCACTCAGTCTACTAGACTCTCTCTGATCAATAGGAAGCCCTGTTGGGTAAAGCCTGACTCTTGATGTCCCAGAGTCTTTGCTGAGGGCACCAGACACTGACATGGACAAGGCTCTAGAAGCCATCCTGGAGGCCACCAGATCCTCCCTGCAGCATCCCCTTCCTGCTGATACTCAGGGTCCTGTATGCTTCAACCAGAGCTGCAACAGAACAGCTCCGGAGAAGCAGCCAGGGCTGTCCTCATTTTATGGTCTCAAAGGCTCTGCCCCAAGCTGGGCACTGGTGGCTCATACCTATAATCCTAGCTACTCAGGAGGCTGAGATCTGAGGATCACTGGTTTGAAGCCAGCTCAGGCAAAAAAGTCCCAATGAGACTCTTATCTCCAATAAACTACTCAAGAAAGCCAAAAGTGATACTGTGGCTCAAGTGGTAGAGCACTAGCCTCAAGCACCCAGAGGATCAGAGACAGCACTAGGTCCTGAGTTCAAGCAAAAAAAAAAAAAAGAGGCCCTGCCTCAGTGGGTTTTGAGTCTCATTTGAGGTCACACCCTTGTTATTTGACACTCACCACTAAGACATCCTATAGAACTGAAAAGACTCCCTGTTCTAACCTCTCCCTCCAGTAGTCCCCTCTCCATGTCTTCCAGAGCCGTCTCTCTCTATGTATCAGAAATGCCTGCAAAGTCTGTCCTAACAGCCCCCTGGGTGTTTTGACAAGAAGCTATCTGTCTACTTTACAAACATGAGCTTACAGATCTGCTGATGCTTCCGGAATACAGTGACTATTCTTAGTCCCCTTGGCTGACAGGAAATAGAAAAGAAAGGAGAGAGAAATCTGAGCTCACCACAGCTGTCACTATGCCTTGTCACCTGAACCCAGGAATTCTGAGCAAGCCCTGTCCTTATCCCTTCGCTTCAGCTTCATCTGGGGGAAACGTCTACCTGTTTTCAGTGATAGGAAGCAGGAGGAATCTGGATGGATATCTAAATCCAAGATGTTGCAATTACCTGCAGAAATTCTACAAAGAGTAATAACAGCTTTTCATATCATCTCCTCCTCCTGCTCCTCCTTTTCCTTCTCCTCTTCCTTCTTCTCCTCTTTTTTATTTTTTACATTTCTTTTTTTTGTTTGGGTTTTTTTAACTGTATTTTTTTTGTCTTTTCTTTTTTGGTACTGGGGATCGAACCCAGGACGTTGCATTTGCTAGGCAAGCGCTTTGTCACTGAGCTACATCCCAGCCCTACATTTCTTTTTTTTATTGTGAGAATACAGTACAGAGGAGTTACAATTACACGGGCAAGATAATGAGTACATTTCTTATCAAGCATTGTTGCCTCCCCGTTGTTTCCCCTTTTCCTTCTCCTCTTCTTCCTCCTCCTCTTCCTCCTCCTATTACTCTTCCTTCTCTTCTTCCTCCTCTTCCTTCTCTGTTCTTTTCTTCCTTTATGCCAGGGCTTGAAGCCAGGGCCTGGATGCTGTCCCTGAGCTTTTTCATTCAAGGCTGGTACTCTACTATTTGAGCCACAGCTCCACTTCTCAGTTTTGTTTTGTTTTTGTGTGATTAATTGGAGTTAAAAGTCTCACAGACTTTCCTTCCCCAGGCTGTCTTTGAACTGCAATTCTCAGAGCTCACCATCCTGAATAGCCAAGATTACAGATGTGAGCCACTGTTACTCAGCTTATTTTATGACTTCTACAGAAAAAAAAATTCCCCCAAAATGGATTCTTTCTTTTTGACCACTGTTCATTTCCAGTCTCTTCTGCTTTCCAGGATAATTGAAAGGTGAGAGTGTACATGTTCACCCACTTGCTTGGAAAGCAAGAAACCTATGCATGTAGACAGATGGGCTCTCTCTGTGCAGGGTCCTCGTGTGCCAGGCACCAAGTTCTATAAAAAGTAATAAGACAAATCTCACTTTGTGCAAATAACATTATTGGGGTCCAATGGGAAAGTAGGTGAGTACAGCTATTAACCCTGACATGGCAATGAGCACTATGTGAGCTTGGCCCAGTCCATTCGCCTCTCTGAGCCTCAGTTCCTTCATCCCTCACAGAAGAGGGATCCGTTCTCAAGTTCCCTTTCAGTTGCCACATGCCGCAATTCTCTCCCATTCCCTCCTGCATTCTTCTTTCTTTGGCTGGGTGGGGTTAAAGCTTTTGAAACGGCTTTAATAGTTTAGAACATTTTCTCCTCTGCTAGATTTCTTTAGGTGGGAGAATGTGGATTCTGGGTCCACTTTCTCATTTCTTTTTTAAGCTGAATGATTGCTTTAGGTCAGCTTTTAACAAAATGGGGTCAAAGTCATCATTTCGTTCTATAAGATTTCTAATTCTCCCAGTGAACTGACAGGCTACCCGCTTTTACACAAGGAGAAACCAAGTCCCTGAAGTGATGAGGGCAAGATCCATACTGGAAAGATAATGGCAGTGTTTGTGTAAGTAGCTTAGGAATGAATTAACCTCCTCCAATGCATGCACTGGTTCAACAGCCCTGGTTGTTATCTGGGTGCTTTCTCCAGGGCTAATGAACAGCCTTTTCTGGAGCTGGAATTGAGTAGCAAATTTAGTTTTCCCAAGTTGCTCTAAAGCAAGAGGCACACAGAGAGGTCTTGAGGCACCTCACCCTTTAGACTGTGACTTTCAGGATAGGGACTGGGTGGATTGTAGCTTTGTGGCCACCCTACAGGACACAGGCTTTACTCAGCCATAGTCATAATACAGGGACCTTGACTAATTGGGTTAACTGCTTCGCCTTATCTCTGCCTGGCTTCTCCTGGAATGACGTGAGGAAACTTCTGATCCTATGGGCCTTTCTCCTGTCTGTTTTCTTCCCAGAAGTGTGGTCTTTCCCCTGTGAAAGATGCAATGATGTGGTCTTCTCTGCTCTCCTGTCACACAGCCCTTCTAGGGGAAACTGTCCCTTCCACAGCTCCTGCCCACAAAGGTCTATGGACACGTGACTTCAGTCAAAGCTGGGTGGGTGAAGGGGGACCTAATGTGAGTTTGGCACCCAGACTCACTCCCTAGAACCACAATCATCCAAGAAGCAGCAGATAGGGCAGAGGCAGAAAATGTTGAAGCAAGAGGGAGGAACTAGTGTCCCAAGGCAGGTAAAGCTGAGCAGAAGGAGCAGGGAAGAGATGGGGGTCACTAAGGCTGTGAGGAGGAGGAAGAGGGGTTGGTGTAGAGAAGCTGGTCTTGCCAAGGCTGTCACAAAACCAGACATGCTCTCCAGCCTTTCTCCTCGCTCTTGAACTTCTGTGAGATTTCATGCCTATTGACTTCTGTACATCGTGATCACTCACTCCCTTCATGGCCCTGTTCTTGTTTATTTTTCTTTCATTCAATCACCTTGCTCTCTCTTTTATTTCCTTTCTTCCTTCCTTCCATTTTTCTGTCTTTCTCCTTGCTTACTTATTCTCTCTCTCATTCTCTCTCTCTCTCTCTCTCTCTCTCTGTAATCCCTATTCTCTCTCCACTCCACCCACAACTATTTCAGGATGTTTAATGTTCACCTTTATGTTTGCACAGGTTCTTGTAAAATGCATACTGCAATGGCCAGTTTCCGTTTCCAGAAATATCTCTATGCTTTATGGCTCAGTGTCCCATTCACCCAACACCCAATCCTCTGAGGACCATCCTTTGTGCAGACTGGATCTATGGTTTCTAGCTACTGGGTAGATTCTGTGGATTGCACCTACCCCACAGTCCTTCTGCATCCTGATGATGGACAGGTCATACAACTCCTATAGCATTGCCAGGAACACGCACAGGCTTGTCCCCTTAGGCCCCTCTAGGAGTATCCTTAGTGGTGTGTGAGATGTACATACAACTAACGTTAGGGTAGTCAAGAAGAGCCAAGCACAATGTCTGGCAAATGGTGAAAAGTTCAGTGAACATCTGTTGAATAAAAGCAACCATCAAAGTCTTAAGTACAATCTATGAGCTGGGGTATTTAACAAATCCTAGAGCCTGTCAGTATCAGAGCATGGTCCTTATGCATGGCTTGTTGACCTTCTGAGAATGATCAAGTCCCACACTAATGCAACCTCATGACAGTTGCGCCAGACCCCAGACTTCCTCGACCTCGTTTTGAAGTGTTTTACCTGTGGCTTTGCTCAACACTCCTGCTTGGGGGGCTGTTTCCACCTACAGGTCTCTGCTCACTCTGGGACTGCTACCCTTCTTTCCAGGCTCACTCCCAGCCCCCATAGCCTCAACTGGAGTCTCTTTCTAGACCAGAAAGTGAAGATCATTTCCTCCTTGGTTTTCTCATCAGACTTGGATAGGGATATGATACAGGCAACCTGTGAGTTCTGTATCTACCATTCAACCTATCACCGATGGGTGCTATCGGGGAAAAAGAAAATTACACCTGCACTGAGCATATCCAGACTATTTCCCCTCATTGTTCCCTAACAGAACCAAGCCACAAAGATGTATGTCACCTTTACATGTCACTAGGAGTTATATGTAATGTAGGGATGATTTAGCACATACAGCAGGATTGCAACGTTTAGACAAAAATACTCTGCCATCTGAATAAAGAGCTGGAACATCTGTGCATTCTGACCACCAAGGGAGGCTTCTGGAGCACCCTCCTTCAGATACTAAGGATGGCAGTATTTGTTTGGACTTTGTGTACCAATGTAGCACTCATATTCTCTGCTCATAGCTCTGTCTGGCACCTCTTTTGTTCGTCTCTCACTATGTGCCTCTGAGTCCTTTCTGGTGATCACAACACTGGCAATTGTTTATAGAGGTTGCTCAGCCAGGTGGCAAGGGCTCTGACACTCAAAGGGACAGTGCTTGCATTCAGGAGAGATATTGAGAGTCCCAGGGCCAGCTGGCAGAGAGAACCTGCAAGAGCGAGGCACGCGGCAGGCAGGGTCGGCATCACAACAGGGCAGAGAGACTGATCTCACACTTACTTGGCATAGGCTTTCTCCAGCAGGCACGGCCAGAACTCCTGCTTGTTACGAGGATGTACGAAGAGGCAATCTCTCCCCACAACAGGCAGATAGTCATCTACCACCACTTCTACCCACTGGCCACACTGCCAGAACTGGAAGAGAGACAAACGTGTGCCTTAGTAGAGCTGGGGTAGCCGAGAGTTTCCAAAGCCTTTCAACCTACACCAAAAGATGCTCATGGTGACAACCTGAACTCAACAATATAACAACAACCTTGATCTAGAACAAAACTCCAGTCCCAATTGCTGGGCAGGGTGCAAGCATGTGATGATCTCCATCCGGTGGCAGACGTAGAAAAATAGGTAGAGAACAAATAAATAAATAAATGAGGCAGTTAACAAAAGGAAGTAAAGGTAGGGAGGAAGAGAATCGGGTTCTATTGACTGTGGGCTCACTTTGGCAAGTTCTTTGTGAGCTCCAAAGACACACAGGAGACATTCTAAATGAGTGGTCTGGACAGGGTTGGAATGGGGAAGAAGCTCCCTACTGGGAGCTGAGGGCTGGAGGGAGGAAGTGCTATGTAAATACACAGGGAATGCATCGGACAGGTTTCAGGGGAAAAGGCCTGCCGGCAAAGGACTGAGCAGGGACAGTCTCATTCCGGCCCTCTCATCTCCCATCATTCTGGCCTGCCACTACAGCAGAGAAATGAAACTGGCACTGCTGCTGCTCAGAGTGCAAATGCAACAGATGTTCTTCTACCAAACAGACTGTTTTCATCTTTAGCACTCAATTCTAAATGGTTCACCTAGGGACATCATCAAATGAGGACCATTCATTCAAAGCCAGCCTTCTTTGCTTCATTGCTGGCCTCCCCTGGGCTGGATGAGTAGTGGGACTTCCAGGTTTGAGCTTTGATGGAGGCAAATCTCCCCTAGCTGGGTGGATGTCATCTCTCATTTACGTGCCTCTCATCCACAGCCGCATGTCCAGATGCTGGGCTGTCACATCCAGCCGAGGACCCGCTTTCAGAGCAGAGATGGAGACCAAGACACAGATAATCAGTTGAGACAAAGGAAAGATGTTTTCATGGTCCTAATAAATCCCTGCACTGCAGCTGGCTTGGGCACAGCTGTGGACTTGTGCTCTTCTGGCAGTGAGCAGGAAGATGTGTAGGTGTTGAGGCTGAGGAGTCACCAAGGAAAGCCAACCCCAGCTCCCAGAAGGAGAGGACTAAAAGGGCCATCTGGATTTTGTGTTTAATTGGGTAGCAACAAATAACAGCATCCATTTTGTGGAAATCTGCTGGAATTCTGGTTTTGCCTTTTAATTACCCAAACAACAGATGTAGGGCAAGACATTTAATTCGTGGTGTCAGTTTCTTCATCTGCCAAAGAATGGCATGATTAAGAATGGCCTCAGAGCCTGTCGCTGGGATCAGATAGAAGGGAGGGTGTGGTTTTGAGGGACTACTGTTCAACAGCCATTTTGTTCAGCATCCAGGACAGTGCCTGATACCCAGAAGGCCATGCTGAATAGGGGTATCTTGCTCAAGGATGCTGATCTTGCTAGTTTCATCCTAGAACTCATCCTCACCTCCATCTTTCCAGTAAGGCCAACTAAATTTGATCTCCCACGAGAACATCAGATGAGACTGCTGCTGCCAGAAAGGATGCAGAGTCTTGACTGGTGGTCAGGATTGACACCAGGATATATACATTTTCTGGTTTGTGCTTCTGGGGGAGGAGTGATGCTATCTAGATAATGTCTGAACCAGCCGGAACCATGCAGGTGCCATTTTGCCTCACTCCCTTGTCAGGGAAAACAGAAATGTTTGGGGAGGCCAGGCATCTACAGTACCCTGGGCATGGGGTGTTTTCCAGAAGCAATGACCAAGCTCACAGTGGAAAGAAGAAAGCTTCAGAGGTCAGCGTCACTGCTGCAAAACTGGGAAACTTGGTAATTTTCTTTGTCACCCAGTAGAGCAAAGCATATCCTGCCTGAGTCTCCAGTTGTCTTGACTAAGTCAATCTCATCAATGTGGTAATTAGATCAACAGAGGTGGCAGTATCCCTAGGTGCCTGTCAGAAGATCTAGTAGCCACCTTGTTGGGGTTCAGGAGGAGAGAACAGGGAAAAGGAGGAGGCCCAGCAACAAAGAAAGGGAAGTTGGCTAATTAAAAGGAGGACGTCCTTCTTACTGAAAGGCTCACTGAGTTCAAGGCAATATTATTTCTTAAAATGTATACATGTGGATGTATTCTAGAGAATTTCCCCTACTCTGGGGGAAATGGGGAGAAACTGGTAGGTTGAAGGTGCATGCTGGGCACAAAGTAAGAAAAATAGATAACATTGGATATTTTCCTGCAACACTAGAACCTATAAGACAACGAGGATAGTGAGAAAAGAATGTGATACCAGAATCCTAAAACTATCCAAAATGTCAGTCTTAAGTGAAAGCAAGTGAAAAACTCTCATTGTACTTTGAGGAAAGTTATGCAAGGAACTACTATTTAATGAAGTCAAATTAGAACAAAATATCAAGGTCAGGAGAAAGGTAAGAGAAACAGCAGCAAGTGATGCATTTTAAATATGCCTTTTACAAGAAACGCACCTGTAATAGTGAAAAGAAACTGATAATAAAGCGATAAACAGAGACACAAGAGGCACATATACTCAGGAAGCTGGAGTGATGATGTGAAAATTAGATAGTGAGGAACAAGGCCAAAGGCATTAAATATAACAAATAAGGATATTATGCAAGTTTTATCCTTATACCATGATGGCAATATCATAAGTTTTGAGCCACTAAAGAATACAACAGAAAACATGCAGAGCCAAAACATCCAATAGAAATTAGAGTCTCCAAGACTCTGACAAGGAACTTCCATTGTTCTTTTAGAATTTGATAAACCAAGCAGACAAATTAAGCCAAGGTAAAACAGTCAATTATAGGTAATATGATATGCAAACCAGAATGCTGATCTAATAAATAAACATGAGCCAGTAACAAAAACTATCATGGATGTGGCCATAAATAAAACTACTTTAACAATTTCATCAGATGTAGACATTTTTATAAGTATACATTTTATAAATCTGGCCATCAAATGAGGGAAACTATGGGACCTATGTTTTGGGTCTGGCTTACTTCAAATATAATTTTTTCCAAGTCTTTCCATTTCCTAACAAATGGAGCAGTGTCATTCTTTCTGATGGAAGCACAGAATTCATATACATTTCACATTTTCTTAATACATTCATCTACTGAAGGGCATCTGGGTTGGTTCCATATCTTAGCTATGGTAAATAATGCTGTAATAAACATAGCTGCGCTGGTAGCCTTAGTATGGCCTTGATTGTGATCATTTGGATAAATGCCCAAAAGTGGGATTGCTGGGTCATAGGGGAGCTCTATGTGGAGTCTTTTGAGGAACCTCCATACTGCTTTCCATAGTAGTTGCAGTAGGGTTTCCTTTGGCCAAATCCTTTCCAGCATCTGTTGTTATTAGAGTTTTTGATTATAGCCATTCTAACTGGGGTGAGGTGGAATCTCAATGTTGTTTTGATTTGCATTTCTTTTATGGCTAGAGAGGTTGAGCATTTCTTCATATGTCTATTGGCCATTCTTATTTCCTCTTCAGAGAAGTCTCTATTTAAGTCTTTATCCCACTTATTAATCAGGGTTATTTATTTGAGGATTTTTTATTGGGGGAATTTAATTTTTTGAGTTCTAAGTATATTTTAGATATGAGGCCCTTGTCCATTGTATGGCTAGTAAAGATCTTCTCCCAATCTGTGGGCTTTCTATTGATCTGGCTAGCTATGTCCTTTGCTATACAGAAACTCTTCAGTTTTATGCAATCTCATTCATTAAGTGGAGTAAGCCAGACCCAAAGAAACATAGGTCCCATGCTTTCCCTTATTTGCAATAACTAGTATATGTCTAGGACAAGCAGAAGAGGTCAAAAGCTATGTATATGTGACCATGCAAGCTGCTGCTAAATGAAATGAATTCCAAGATAGGGACACAAGAGATTTTATCTTTCTTGCTGTTCTTTTTAATGTACTTATACATACTAAGTGATATTTTTTGTTTCTTTGTATGTTCTTCTCCCATGGCATAATCCCTGTTGTCACTGTATTTGATTCCAGTGGCCTGTGTCTTGTATATACACTTTTCTAATTTTGGGAGGGGAAGGGAAATATTATGCTGAAATAAGGATACAGGTTGACCCACTGTAACAATGAGATGTACAAGACACTATGTTGAAAATGAACTTTACAACTTTGCAGGGGGAGGGAGGAGTTCGGGAGGTGAGAAGGAAAGGGATGGTGGGGGAAAAACAAAGGAGGTGGTAATAGTGCTGCACAAGAAATATACTCATTACCTTGCTCGTGTAACTGTAACCCCTCTGTACAGTATCATTATAATAAAAACATATATGAAAAAAGACACTATGTTGAAAATGAACTTTACAACTTTGCAAGGGGAGGGAGGAGTTTGGGAGGTGGGGAGGGAAAGGATAATAGAAGAAAAAGAAGGGAGGGGGTCACAATACTGGATAGGAAATGTACTCATTACCTTACTCATGTAACTGTAACCCCTCTGTACAGTATCTTTACAATAAAAAAATTTAAAAATAAAAAAATCAGGCCATCATTTAATAAAACTAAAACTTAGGAACCCAAACATTACTTCCTATAAAACTTAATCACTTACAAATTAAATAAAAAAACCCATAGGTATGGGAAAGAATAACTCAAAGCTAAATATATTACAAATTTAAATTAAAAAGTAGGAGATTTCATGTCAAAACTTAAAAGTTCTAAGAGGGGAATTTGTAGCCTTAAAAGATTATATTGAAAAGACTAACAACATAAACTATACAATTCCAGCAACTGTAAAGAACAACAGAATTTTAAAGGAAATTAATAAAGAACAGGATGGATAATGAAAGCCAAAAGATTATTTGTTAAGTAACCAACACAATAGATTCGTTGAATTAAGAGAAGCTGAATTAAAGGGAATGGGAAAAAAAGGAAAATATAGCTCTGGGATTAAGAAAGTTGATCTAGCCACATATTTACATGAGATTAAATGGATTATCAAGATAATACAATCTATAAGTTGATACTTTTGGAAATAAATAGAAACAGCCAATTTTTCTGATAAAGTATGCATTTCAGTAATTAGCTCCACCAGGAATATGAGGCTCAAGCAAATGAATAGCTACTGAATATACTATAAGAGTTAAAGAAATCACATTTAAGAATAGATGAGTTATTAGCTATTGTCTAGCTTATATTTTTGTCTATTTTATTTCAACTTTATCAAAAGATACAGTGATGAACAAATATTACTCAAATTATATCAAATTTTAAAAATATAGTCAGTTCACTTTAAAAAGTTAGCATAATTCAAACATCATGAAAATAGCATAAACTAGAAATGGCTTTTACACAAAATTGGTGTAAAATTTTGAGTAAAATTTTTAGCCAATTGAATCCAACACATCTCAGGAAAATACATTATTAAAATGAAAAGGAGGCAGGATTTTTTTCTTTATTTATTGTGCACAGTCCCGGTGCTTGAACTCTGGGCCTGTTTGCTGCCTCTGAGCTTTTGTGCACAAGTCTAGCACTCTATTACTTGTGTTACAGATCCACTTCTGGCTTTTTTGTGGTTAATTGGAGATAAGAGGCTCATGAACTTTTCTGTGCAGACTGGCTTTGAATCTATATTCTCAGATCTCAGCCTCCTGAGTAGCTAGGAGCACCTAAGGGGAAGCAGGATTTTTGATTCTTGTCATTATGATTCAAAAAATGGTAAGTTCTAACTAATATGACAAGGCAAGAGAGTAAAATATTAAGGTCTACATCTAAGAGACAAAATTACCTCTATCTCAGATAATATTATCAGATATTATTATTATTACTAAAACAGTCCAGATTCTATTAAAGAAAAAAGAGAAAACTATTAAAACAATGACAGGATGGCTAGATACAGATTAATATACATCATAGTATTTCTCTTTTCCAGCAAAATCTACTTGGAAATGAGGAGGGGAGTCCCAAAATATTTCATTCACATTAGCTATAAAATTGTTAAATATTTGAGAATAAATTTACCAAGAAGGATAGAGCACCAATATGAAAACATAACCATAACATTTTATTGAAGGGCATAAAGCTAGTTCTGAATAAATAAAAAGATAGCTCATACTTCTGGAAAGGAATAATTAAAACAATAAAAATGTAATTTTTCCAAATTAATACATAAATTCAATGCCATTGCATTCTATATCACAGCGGCTTTTCTTTTTAATTAGACAAAATGGTTTTTAAAATTCGCAGGGAAGAATAAATGTGAGATATTCTTAAGAAAAAAATAGTGAAGGAGAACTTATTCTCCCACATCGTACAATTCCTGTAACACTCTTGAAATCAAAATAACGGGACATGACTCTGAAATAGACGAGAACACGGTGATAGCCATGCTGTTCTAGGTCATAGTCTTCTCAATCCTCCCATTTCTTCTTATACCCATGATTTAAGAAATGTTTATTGTTATTACTAAGGTGATGTATGGAACAGTTACATAACGCAGGCAATGAGTACATTTTATTTGGACAATGTCACTCCTTCCCTTGCTCTCTCCAAGTTGTTCCCTCCATCCCTACCCAAAGTTGGATCGTTCATTTTCCACATTGTATTTAGTGATCACTACTGCCGTATTTGTTCAGCCTTCATCCCTTCATTTCTGTGTTCCCTACTTCCATGATTTTAACTCCAATCTTCCCTATGTGTGATCTGGATAACTGACACAACAGTACCAACTATTCTCATCTCAAGCTTCCAAGACAGTAAGTATTCAAGACTCTCCCTTTGGGGGCAGGGCGGGGGTGGTCATACAGCACACTAGTGGTGCACATACCCGGAACCAGAAAATTCCTGCATACTGGTGTGAAAAGCTTTGGTCCATCAGGATCTTCTGCAGACACTGGGGATTCTGGGTCAAGGAGCCCAGTGCTGCCAGGAACCAGCAGTCTCCTGGGAGGGGATAAAGCCATGAGAGGCTGATGGAATGTACCCGGAAGTCCCATCCCATAATTTCACAGGTCCTAGCCACCAGAATTGGCATGCTTCCTTCTGAAGGCATTGTTGAGTATCAGTCTGAAGTGCTTGAGACTAAAAGGATTTGGGATTCTGCACTTTAAATAAAATTAGTATTTTGAAGATTTACATATATACAATGGTATCCGTGCCACGTTTAAACAGACAATGATGTATACTTCATATGCAACTTAGACACACAGCCTGAAGGAAATTTTAAACAAAGTTTTTAATGGGCCGGGGTATAACTTGGCAGTAAAGCATATGCCTAGCATGCATGAGACCCTGGGTTAGTCCTCACAAGTGAACCAAAATGAAATAAAATTTTCTGTGCTCCTATGTCATAACTTATCCCTCGAGTCCATGTGTAAAATTTTCTACTTGTGGTACAATGTCAGTGTTCAGACAGCCCCAGATTTTGGAGCATTTAAGGTCTGGGTAGAGTTAGATTATGGATTCTTAACTTATTATGAGTTTTTGCCCTTGAGAAAGAAAAAACTGCCCTATTATTATCCTATTATGAGGTACCGAAGGAATTGCTGCTAGCCGTGGTAGTGGTGATGGTAAGTGTGTGTGTGTGTGTGTGTGTGTGTGTGTGTGTGTGTGTGTATAACTGACAATATGTTGGAAGTGATGGTACTAATAAGGGACTACAAGGAGTCACAATCAGGAAACTTAATTATACTGATTTTCATTTTTCTTTTTTTTGTCAGAAGTGTACAGAACTGAAATCGGAGTAAACTTTGGTGCTATCTTAGGTAGCAACCAATGATCATACAATCAAAAAACAGACTTGAAGTTTTCTTTGCTAATATTTGTTCAGTTCTTATCCATGTAGAGGCACTCTAGCCCACATCCTGAGGGATGCAAGGTCTTGAGGTTGTCCTTAGGTATCATTGTGATACCTAAGGTCTTCTGGACAGGCCTTTCCCCTTTCCTGAAGCTTCCTTCCTTACCTTCAGTACCATGAGCTCTGTGAGTGCTGTATACCAGAAACTGTGCTCAATGCAGAAGCCACAAAGAAGCCTCAGAGAAATCCTTCCTCCAATTTGGTGAAACCCTAATAAGTTGATTATGGGCTGGTGACCAGGTAGACTTTTCATCAAATTGGCCTAAGAAACAATGATTTCCCAGGTGACATATAAGAATTGGTAGGGAAGCTCTTACCTGCAGTTCCTTGTTGGATGTCAAATCGGCTGGCACCTTCCAAAATGAAGTAAGGGGGGCCCTCTGATAAATCCTTAGGAGAAACGGGAAAACTATGAGCATTTTTCATTTCTTAAGTCTCAATGCAGTTCCCACAACATTGTTCACTTGAATTATCAAGGTTAATTCCTATAAAGGTGTCTAAAATCTGAATAAAAATTCACTTTCTTTTTCTTCAGGGTATTGTGTGTGTGTGTGTGTGTGTTTCTACTGGGTTTAAACTAAGGGCCTTGAGTTCTTGCTTGATGTTTTCTACTCCAGGCTAGCTCTCTACTACTTAAATCACATCTTCACTTATGGTTTCTGGTTCATTAACTGGAAATAAAATCTGCCCAGGATGGATTTGAACAATAATCCTCAGATCTCAGTCTCTTGAGTAGCTAGGATTACAGGTGTGAGCCACCAGTGCATGGCTTATTCTTCAGGCTTTATTATTCTCAGGAAGCAGATATCAAGTTGTGTATATGTAAACAGCAAATAGATAAGACAAGCAAAGTACACAAGACGACCACCTAAATATGGACTGTGGCTGTTCACAGCAAAAAATCCATCTTCTGGTCCCAACAAGCCAGTGGTTTATGAGAAAGTAAATTAAATATATTCATTACACCAAACTTTAGAAATATAATAAGGGACCATAGCTGTCCATAGTAAAACTTTTCTTGTGAAATGGTGTCACTTAGAAATCTCCTTGAGCAGTCTCTAGTCCAGGTTCAAGTCCAGACAGGTGTTGTATAGGAAGTCTTTCCTTTATTCAGATTTTTTTTTTTTGGTCAGTCATGGGGCTTGAACTCTGGGCCTGAGCACTGTCCTGAGCTCTTCAGCTCAAGGCTAGCGCTCTACCATTTGAGCCATAGCACCACGTCTGGTTTTCTAGTACTTTATTAGAGATAAGAGTCTCACGGACTTTCCTGCCCAGGCTGGCTTTGAACCACGATCCTCAGATCTCAGCCTCCTGAGTAGCTAGGATTACAGGTGTGAGCCACTGGCGCCCGGCTTCAGATTTTTCTTTACTCCCTGAACTACTCACAGACCAAGTGTGGATGACACATGTCCTTCCACAGCCTCCAGCCCGTATGCTCCTGCCTTCCTCAGGAAGAGAGTGCTAAAACGTTCCACAGAGGGGCACCATCTGGACAAACTGTAGTAGCTCCTAACAGATATAAGGCTGTGAGTTCTGAGGGGAAACCCCAGATAATTGGGGGGGACACAATAGACTGAAGGCTCCACTCCTGCCCCAATCAATGCTCACCGCCCCTCTAGCTTTGTCTGTTACAAAGAGCCCACGGACTCTCCTCTATTGTAACCTGTCAGTGCAGCTCTTCCTGATTTCCATTGTATAAGTTTGCATAATTTGGTAATTGTTCCTCTATCATTGCTTTTCACATTGACAAATATGTCCCTAGAGTGCAGGGCTACAACAGTGCACATGGACTCCTTTGCCCAGGAGCCATGAAAGCATGGAGTCCTACGCCAGTTTAACCTGCCAGCCTTTCATTCACATACAGTTCGAGTTTCCTGGAGGGGAATGCATATTCTGGACACACAGACTCCTTCTGCTTTCTCAATGGCTGACTCCATCAGATGCCAAGAGCGGCATGCACAGGCCCTTCTGATATAGTGTCCCTGAGCCAGAACGACGGCTAGGCTGCACTTGGAAAATCTCTGCAGTCCACACAAGCAGGAAAGAACACTCTGAGGAGCTATGGCCATGTGCACGTGGTTCCATGTTTATGGCAGCACTTTTCAGAATGTCCTAGTCATGGAATCAGCTTTGTTGCCCATCAACAGATGAATGAAGAAAGAATATATGGTGTGTGTGTGTGTGTGCGCACGCGCGTGTGTGTGTGTGTGTGTGTATGTGTGTAATGGAGTATTATTCAGCCATAAAGAAGAAGAATCTTATGTTATTCACAAAATGGATAGAACTGGAGAAATAAGGAAGATATAGAAAGACAAATAGTGCATTTTTAAAAATCATCTGTGAAGTCTAGATTGTAGAAAATACAGACATGAAGCAGAAGTGAATCAATATGGATGAGGGCAGTGGTCACACAGAGTGGAATAAGAGAAGGTGACAGGGATACGTATATAGTATGCAATGTGAAAATGCCATAATAAAACCTACTTTTTTTGCTGGTCCTTGGGCGTGAACTCTGGGCCTGGACATTCTCTCTGAGTTTTTGTGCTCAAGACTAGCACTCCACCACTTGAGGCACAACACCAGTTCTGAGTTTTTGTGATTAAGTGGAAATAAAAAATCTCACAGGCTGGCTGTAAACCGTGATCCTCAGATCTCAGCCTCCTAAGTAGTTAGGATTACAGAGGTGAGCCACTGGTGTCTGGCCTGAAATCTACTCATTTATAAAATTAATAATCATTTCCTTAAAATTGGGCATTTCACTAACTGCTAATTATCCCCTCTCTTCTATTGGTGAAAGAAATTTAAAGTCTCATGGAAGTCCTGCTGTCCTGAGTGGAGACAGTTAAGATTCTCAGCATGGAAATAAAGATGTGGCTCCAGTAGTAGAATGCCAGCCTTGAATAAAAAAGCCAAGCAGAAGTCCAAGATCTTGAGTTCAAGCTCCAGTACTGGCAAACACACACATAAAAAGATTCTCAATGATAAGAATAAAGAAGATAGGAAGAAGGTTATGGGGTATTGAACCTGGAACATGGGAAAGTTTGCCCTGTTTTTGTTATTGGTATTGGTTGGTTGGTTGGTTTTGTGCCAGTACTGGGGCTTGAATTCAGGACCTCATACTCTCACTTGGCTTACACCCAAGGCTAGGGCTCTACCACTTGAGCCACAGCTCCACTTCCAGCTTTGTTTCCGGTTAATTGGAGACAAGAGTCTCACAGAATTGTCTGTCCTAGATGGCTTCAAACCTTGATTCTTAGATCTCAGCCTTCTGAGTTGCTAGGATTATAGGCTTGAGCCACCAAAGCCTGAGTTTCCCTGTTTATCTTGACACACTGCCCTGCTTTTCTGAAGTTGCATTCTTCTTCTCCTCTGATGTGTCTCAGTGATTCTTCAAGCAAACCTGACTCCGAATAGAGCCCTGACATTTCTCTCCAGATGATCTAGAGTCCTTTTCAATCTCTCCTTCTTGGCTGAAGCTCAGTTTCCTCATGTATAACATGGGAACAAAATGCATGGACCTTTGGGAAAATGCAGTGATGAAGCAAGGTTTTGGCTACCACTTATGACGAACTCTAGGTGCTGTATTTCTGGGTTATTCTCAGCAGGCTCCCAATAGCCTTACAAAGCAAGATGAATCCTAGTCTGCAGGACAGAAAGCAATACAGTATACTTAGTCCAACATCTAACAGGGCACGTGTTCAATAAGTATTGATTCCCTTCTCCTGTGGTATCTGCAAAAAGGCTTTCCTCATAGACAACCCAGAGCTCCAAATGCATTCATTATTAAACAAGGCAGAATCAAAACATGAATTAAGTAGTCAATTCAGAGTCAAAAGGACAAAGAAGCCTCTCAAAAATAGGAGGAAGGAAATGATAAAGAAAACAATTTGTGAAACATAAAATAAATCAGAAACAGCAAGAATAATAAAGTAAATAAATTGTTCTACTTGAGGTATTGGATTAATGGAGATTCAACCTTTGGCAAAAATAGTAGAGAAACCCAAATAAGATTAGAAATGAAGATGGAGTTTAGCAATATTAGAAAGATGATGTAAAATTCTATACTAGCCAATTTAAGATACTAATAACCTTTTGGATGAAAATCAACAGGACTAAATATATTTCAAATTAGCTAATAATCTGAAAGACTAAGAGCTTCTGGTAACATGTTTACATCATCAAAGAATACTGCTATAATATGCCTGAAAAAAATCTTCCTGGTATATGCTTTTTTCCTGTGGAGTTCTTTTATATTTATAAGGAAGAGAACACCCCTATTGCATTTGCAGTGTTAAAAGAAGAGAAGTACGTTGTCATTTCATAAGTCTGTATACATACACACACACACACACACACACACACACACACACCACATACACATGCATACACACACACATGCATTTTCACACACGGACATAAACATGACTGATTTGTACTGCCTTATTATGATCAAGTAGAATTTGCTGTAGAAGTGCAGAAATCCATTGTGGTCTCCTTAAAACATGCAGTAATATGAAGTCACAGTTACATGGGCCAAAGGGAGAAACCATGACCTTTCCACTAAAGCTATGAAGTCATTGATAAACACAAAGCAACTTTTTATGTTTTGCTAAAATTATAGAAGTTATAACTAAAAAATAAAAATTTAGTTAGAACAGAATTATATTTTCACATGATCAAATTATAAGGTGATTATTTATAAATTGGGCTCGATTGCCAACAACAAATTCATTGAATTTTTTGCATAAGAGAAGAACACAAGGCTAGATGCGTGTAAGTCATGCCTGTAATCCTAGCTACACAAGAGGCTGACATTTGAGGACCAAGGTTCAAGACTACCCCAGACAGACAAATCCCCAAAACTTTGTCTCTAATTAACCAGCAAAAAGCCAGAAATGGAGGTGTTGCTCAACTGGTAGAGCACTGGCCTAGAACAAAAGAGCAAAATGAGATCATGAAGCCCTGGGTTCAAGCCCTAGTACTGGCACGTACGCATGCACATGCACACACAGACACACACAGACACACACACACACACAGACACACACACACACACAGGTGCCAATGGCTCACACCTATAATCCTTGCTAGATCTCAACTGGGCAAGAAAAGTCCTTATCTTTAATTACCACTGAAAAGCTGAAAGTAGAGTTATGGCTCAAGTGGTAGCCCTGAGCCCAAAAGCTCAGGGACAGTGCCCACACCCTGAGCTCAAGCTCCAGGACTGGCACACGCACAAAAAAGGTAAGGACACAATACCTATGTTTCCTGTCTTTGAGAACATGGCTTGTTGCATCCCCTAAGAAAGAGAGGTTACATGAAAAGGTGGACATGAGACCCACAGGCACTTCGTGCTGCCAGGCCAACTTCCCCAGGCAAAGCCTCACCCC